GATGATTGTAACAAAATAACAGTTGTCATTTTCAAAGAACTAAAAATGTTTTGATGCCAGAATATATAAAAATTGACATCAACATCTCAATAAATTTTCCAGATAGGAGTGAGTAGACTTATTAGTTTTATTTGTAAAGTCAGACCACAAGAGTTAAAATAAGGGAATGAAAAAGTATAAAACTGAAACTTGGTATGAAAATACTCGCCACAGTGGCTTAATACCTTTTTTAATTAAAAACAAAATAAAAGAAACAAACAAAAAAACCCCTCCAAACACATACAGTCAAATAGTTTAAGAAGACCTGAATAGACAGTTTATAAGCAGAACAAAACCTTCAACTGTGATGTGAGAGCTAAAAGAACAAATAATTCTTAGACGTACAATGTGAGGCAGTAACAGGTGGGTATTGGAAAGCGACGTTATTTCAATTCAGAAAATTGTTTTGAATAACCTGTTACTGTGGATTCATTTCAGGCAACCATATTTCAAAAGGAGATTGAAAAAGAAATGTTAAAATGTTAAAAATGTTACACAAAACATGCCTTATACAATGTACAAACTATTTCATCCAGAAGTGCAGAGGTAATTTGTTCATGAGCTAGAATTTGCTATCCAAGGAGGGAACTTGATAGTGGCGGACCCTGGACTATAACATTAAAAAACACACTTAAAGGTAATAACGGTACACAAAAAGAGGGTAACTCAGATAAGAAGTAAAATGGAATTAGTCAGTTCCTGGAACAACTTAACTAGGGACATGGTGGATTCTTTATCACCAGAAAACTAGTAATCTTTAAAGATGTGCTGTAGTTCAAATAAAACCTATGGTTTTTATGCAGATAAAATTTTGATAATTTGAGAGTGATGTTATAAAAGCAATAAGACTGACTGTAATAATGCATCACATGGCCTTAAAGTGTTATCATTACATTAAAGTATGTCTGAGATGTGCATCTTAAAAATCACCACTTCCTTCCTCTCAATGGTAGTATTTCTGAAAATGCACGCATCATGAAAATAATTGTTAATAATTACTTAATTTGGACATAAAGACAACCAAAATTATCCAGGACTTCTGGATATTTTTCTTCTTTGTTTACCAGAAGTTGTTTATATATCTAACCAGAGTTTAATCAGTTACATCTGTAAAACCCACCATAGGGCAAAGGTCAGGACAAGAGTTTCCTAAAACGTGATATGGCTGAGAAATTTATCCAAATGACAATTACAAATAACAAAAAAACCCAAGCTGTTCTATAAGACACTTCTTGTGGCAGTGTCCTGAACAGATCCCTGGGTGCCTGATAACATGGATAAATTTCTCTTCAGGAAAGAAATGTAATGTAAGAATTCATTCATGGAAGGAGTAAAAACATCATGTTCTGAAATCTCTGTCTCTAGTACAGAAGTTTGACTGGAGCAGGTTTATGTAGTTCAAAAGTTATTAAATTTGGAATGCAAACTGACAAGCATGCAGTGGCAGCATAAGATTTATTTCTTCAGGAAAGCAAACTCAAAATAAATTTGGTTTCTTAATTACTTTTTAATTCATCTTCCCTGATCAAATGGTATCAATAGATGTTAAAATGGATATTCCCAAAGACATTTTTATAAAATTATTTTTCAGAATAACAACCAATTTTAACTTTGTGTATATTATCTTCCTAAGAGTAGGCCATCAAAACTTGCAGATCACTAAAAATATTATTTTCCTACTGCATTTTCTAAAAAATAGTAAGTTGCAGTAAAAACAATCCAAGAACCAATAGGAAGTCCTAGGAATAAATTCAAGCCAAATACTAGGTGGTATTTTAAAGGACTTACATCTTTTCTTCATTACGGAAACATACTGAAAAGTCACAATGTTCAATTAAGAGAACAGGCAATGATGTTTCCACTGATCCTTCTGGTCTCATGTTGTCTGTTTTGCAAACCTTGGAATCATTTTGCCCTTCACCTAAGAAAGACAATCAACAATACTAGCTATCAAAAACAATAAAATAAGGGAAACAGATAGGATTTAAGAGAGAATTGGAAGTAGTGAAGTAGCATGAACTAAGACCAAACCCAAGAAACTTCTATTTCAAAAGATGGATACATCCTAGCCCTCTTGAAATTTCTTTCCTGATTCTTATGTGCTTTCTTCAAATGTCTTATTTCAAATACCTAGAGATAAAATCCAAAGAGCCTACTTATGGACTGAAAAGGATTTTGCAGAATTTAGGTGTTTTCATCTCAAAAAAGTGACACCGAAAGCCATATATCCTTAAATATGCTGGGGATCCACTTAGCCTGAAAATTCCCTTGACACTAAAATTACAATGCAATCCAAAACCAAGGTGAAAATCCACTTCAGTTTCATCTTCCCAAGGAGTCTCCAACCCATCATGAATGTGCATTCACCACTAAGAACTACTAGCATTAAATTCAGCATTAGGCACAGATATTACATCACTGTCTTTCAAACATAACAGTGACATCCATATATTTTTAAACAATAACAAGAAATGTAGCAGTCTTCCTCCTTAGGTTAGGAGCTTAGAATTATGGAAGCTGGACCACTAGGCAAGTAAGAATACAGCAGTCATTGATTCAGAAAAAGAGCAAGCAAGGGAAAGCAGATGTCCCTTTCCCTAAGAAAGCTCTGTCTTGCTTGCCTTTAGAAGGACCTCAACCCACTTCAGCCGGTGTGCAAGTAGTCTGAATGCCTGATCCTCAGGGATCCAAGGAGGATCCGAGAATCCTCAAGGGACCACATGCCTAAGAGGTGTAAAATGTTCCAGTAGTTCTCTTGTTTTGCCTTGGAGTCAGGTACCACGAGAGGTAACCCTCTCCCTGGTTCGCCCAACCCCTGGGCACTCTGTGGCAGGCAGGCCGAGCAGGTGGGTGGCACACCACGATCACGCGCCATTCACACGCCCACCATGCGGCAACCACACGGCAAACGTGCCCATCACAGGACAATCAGGTGCTCAGCACGCCTGTTGCTACTACAGTTGCACTGCTCACAGCGGCCAGGGCAGGTAGCCCTAAAGGACTTACAGAATTCTGAGGAAGAATCAGAACTGGATAAGGGAATGCAGACACAGCCACAGCAGTGCTGAGGGGATGGGTGTCTGCACTGGCACTGCCCGTGGGAAGACAGTTACCTCTCCTGGTACCAATGATGTTACCTGCTCATGGTGACCTGAGGCAGAACAAGAGAACTATCAAATCAGTTTGATATCAGGGAATCACCCTGCTGAGGCTACCAGTGCAGCCTTTAAAGACTCAGAAGTACTCTGTGTTATACCACTAGAAATATCATAGCCAGAGAAAAATGATATCATGGAGGGACTGGTATGGATAAAGAAAAAATAAATTATTAAAAAAAAAAAAAAAAAGTAAAAAAATAAAGAGATTCCTAGAAACTTCAAAGGTAACTGAGAAATGTTGTTCCATTTAGACAAGGGATTAATTCTGAGGCATTGGTTCTGTTCTCACTGAAGTCTTGGGCAATGAGTTCAGTAAAAAACAAATTACTTACTAGTGCACATCATGTAACATTTTATAAGCAAATGCATTGGCCAAGATTTTATTACAGACATACATGAGTAATTCTTTCCAGATAGGCCAATACCCAACTACATATCAGCTTCAGTAAGAACTCCATGCCATAGTCTGAGACTCATAATTCTGTCACTTACATTAAAATCTTACGGGGTGTAAAAAGCACACACTCAGTAGCCACTAACAACTATACAGCATTCTAGAAGCACTGTGCTACCTATTTCTTTTCCAGATTTCCACACTTTATTACAGAATTTCTCTTGCTCTTTCTTTAAGTTGATATGTGTTACACAACGATAATTATGATCACTGATTAAACTGAAGATCCAAAGCTGCAAGAAAAAGAAAAAGCAATTGCAATAACCCTTTGACACTAAATATAAAGCTTACATTAATACAAACTAAAGATCCCGTATTTAAAACTTTTGATGTAACTAATGAACTTCTTTGAACTGCACATCAAATTCCCACATGTTTATGTGTTTGAAAAAAACTCCTCATAGACTATTTCCCACAATTAAAAATCACAGGTATCGTGCATGTCATTGCTCACTGGGTCATGTAGGTGAATTTCGTTTATACCTTTCTCTTTTAAGACAAAGGTGTAGTTAAATCTTTAATTTTCTTAAGAATTCACTGAACAGTAATCATGAAGGAAAACAGCTGAAAAATCTCATAAAAATATATAACTAACATTAAAGAGGTGAAATGCATATTCACAGTTATTACATTTGTATTAGAATTCCAATATGCTAAAATCATAGTCCTATTTTTCACATTTTTTCTTTTAAAACAGGTATATGTATAGCCTCTCAGCATACTCTTCTTACATAATCACTAATTGTGCTCTTAAAAACTTTCCTGGTTTTCAGGAAAAAGTTTGTTTTGTAATAGAAGTCATATACTATATATGGTTTATGGTCAAAGAATTGAATTATGATTGCTAAAATAACCACTGCAACACTTCAAAACTTGTATGCCATTTGTGAAGCTTTTTTATAGACAGAAACATTAATAATAGTTGACTGTTTTGACATAGAGACTAAGTTTAATGGGCAATTCTTACCTGTCCCTCAGCACATCCAGTGACAAGTTGTTTGTTTTCTTCATCAATTAGCAGACTTAGCAAAGGAAACGCTGCTTGACAAAAAAAAGTATTTGATTGAAATACATTTAATTAAAACACATTATTCAAAATTGAATACCTCCTATTCATAAAAATAGGGGAAAAACCTTACTGCACTTCTTACAGTTGCACAGTGATTTGTGTGCCTTAGTCTTTGTGCTGCTAAGGGCTTTTCACTTGCGGGTTTGCGAACTGCCTTTTACCCAAGCTGCTGTGGCATGGTTTTCAGAACCCCTGTGGTCAGTAGCTTTCCCTTGTTTCAACCATGCAGTTGGTTTCATGGTCTTGCACCTGCAAACACTGACATTGTGCTCATGGCAGGTTTTCAAGGTAAACAATTGCCACAGGCAAATGGGGGGATTCATTGCTTCTCCCTCTTCTTTCCTAATGTGTGTTTTTAGCTTTTAATTTATATGAGGTCCTTCAACAAAACGTTATGCACAAAGCTTAACAACCAGCTCCATGCAACTCACACTCCCAAAGTGTGCTCCAGTCACCACTAACAGCACCACAAGCAGGAACAACCAAAGGGAAGTTCTGAGTAGGTCCTGTTGAAACCTGTACGGTTCCTGTAGGAAAAGTGCTTTGAAGGAGGGGTCCCTGCTACACCAGAGACGATGCTTGCCCTCCTCCTCTCCTTTTGCTTGTCTTTCCACAAAACAAGCTTTCATCTTTGAAGTCAATATATACCATCAACTGCAGACACTGTTAATAAACCTACATACGGTGTAGTATTTCTTTTTATGTCATGCACAAAACTTGAAGGAAAGCAAGCACACAGTACTCAGATAGTGGAATTCTGCCTACAAAACAAGAGAGCTCCATTTGTGTATCTCAGTAAGTGGCAGGTTACATACACATCCTGTACAAAAAGAGTTGTTTATGAAAGTGCACTAAAACTATCCACCAGGAAGTCCACTTTAAAGGAACATACAGTTACTATTGGCTTTAAAGGATAATATGTTTACTGTTCCCTAGTCTTCTAGAATTATTTTCACTAAATCAACTAAAAACTACAATAATGATAGACTACTCTTTAGAGAGAAGAGGTTTTTGCTAAGAAAAAATACATATAAAAATAGAAAACTTACCTGTTATTATTCCCGACTGATATATTAATTGGCCGGTAGAATAGTCCCACACCTTTGAATAAAAAAAAGACGTAGATAGGTATCTACTTAGGTCTCTAAGGAAACACAACCTTTAACGGCCATCACGTGGAGAAAACAGAGAAATGCAGCCATTGAAAGTGATGTCCTTAGATAAGGATTTTTTTCAGCACTTGTTTCCAAATACAAAGGGCTTTGTTTAATTGATAAGCATCCATGGTGTAAAAGGTGAAACTCACATAATATGATTACATGAAGTAATTAGAAGTACTTGTTATCATCTTTTCTTAGTTTGATATCTTAGTGATTTTACCTAAATTAATGAAAATACATACATTAATGCACCAGAAAATTAAAAAAGAGGAAAGGAAGGGGAGAAGGGAGGAGAGAGAGGGGAGGGACCCACAACCTTTGATATTTATTTTAGCTTGTAGAAAAAATTTTGGGCTACATTTAGAGTCATATTGAGGACAATCAGTAGTAGATTAAAGCATATGCAATCAAGGTACCTATCCCAATATCTCCTAGAAAATACATCTGGGTTCACTCAGGTTTTTGTTTCCCCTTACTGTCTAAGTTGTCTTACAATTGTCATCATGCACAGCAGCAGCAATCCATGGTGTCATCATATAAAATGTTGTCTGTAAAAAATCCTACCAATATGCAATAACCCAGCCATTGCATACAATAACCCAAGCCGATATTCCCAAAAGGGAAAATTCAAATCAATGTCAGCAGACTCACAGTGAAATGTTTTCATTCAGTTTAGCATACCTAAAACACTTCAGCTACAGTGAAACTAATCAAAATATTTTATTTTCTTTCTATGTGCTAGATGATAATAATCACCAAAGTTAACAATTCATGTGGAAAGTTTTGAATATACAAAATCTGCATTGTTCTTTTAAAAAAGAGAAATTAATTTTTACAATAATTTTTACAATAATTCTTAGCATCTCTAAGAACCATGTCCTTCTCTCTATAAAGTCAAAGATGTTTTTTGCTTTATCCTCACAAAATATTTAAAGGGGAACAAAATTTCACATATTCGCTAAATTATTCTTTTTTAAGTTTATCTATGCAATTTCCTTGCCTTAAAGGTTCTGTCTTCTGACACTGATATGAGCATGCTTTTCTCCCATGTGCAAAACTCAGCAGCAGTCACTGGAGCCAGGTGGCCATCCAATTTAGCTAGTATAGTTTCATTCTGTGATTAGTCAGTCAAAAACAAAAACACATTAGATTTCAAACTAAAATTGACTATTAAGTAAATATTTTAATAATAACTGTTGCTAAACATTGTCAGATTTGTTTTCAAAGTATAACTCAATAAGATTTTTCTCATGGAAACTGCAGCCCTGTATATCATCCTGCTGACAAAGCCACTACACATTACATTTGGTTCTTCAGAATGAATGATATAGGAATAATTTTTCAGATGACCTAAGAATGTTTTCTTCTTCTAAGTTATCGAGATATTCTTTCATTTCATCTTTTTTAATCTAGTTTTCTATTTGGTATGTGTTGCATTATCAAGCATCTGTTCACACTTATTTTATGAGAGAAAATGAACACTTTTGCTAAATTATACTAACATTTCTGTATCATGATTTTATTTGAAAGTGAATGAGTTAACGAAATACCAGCACCATGGCTACAGAGAATGGTATCTCACCTTTGCACTTAACATGTAGATCCGATTTCCAGCACATACTGCCACTTGTTGATCATCTGGGCTAAATCTGACATGAAGCACCATTCCCAAAAGAGTTCTTATAACAATTCCATGAGGTGTAAACCCTGCAGCAATTGTATTGTTAATGATAATCAATGAAATATAAAACTCTGGTGCAGTGAGATTTTTAGAAACTTCGCATAGTAGTTATCTAACCATAGAAGCTGTCCCAGTTTCTGTCAGAAAGATGTACAGAACAACACACTGTTTAATTACACCAGGCTATTGAAAAGCACAGAACTATGCACCATCAGAATTCCTCCATCTGCCTTGTTGCCTAGACATGATCTGGTACTCTTTGAGATATTAAAAATTCCCATCAAGTTATGCTTCCATTGAAGATTGCCACAGACAGGATTTTTGGAGTAGGGTGATGTGCCCATGGAACCCAGCAGAGCCACATTAATTTTGGACGTAAGAAATCCTGACTGAAGCACAGTAAGACAGGGCTTTGAAAAATACTTCTTGATACTTTTTTTCTCCTCTTTCATTATTTCTCTACTTTCCAATCTATTTAAGCTTGAAGAGGGGTTAGAACTGCTCCCTAGAATCTAACTTCATTGGTTGAGGCTCCAAACCTATATGGTGGTCAGGATACTAAAACTCCTGCTTTCTGTGTGTTATGTCACCATAACTCTCTTTCACTGACACACTTTCCTCACAAATCAGATACTTGCATTACTCACACACACGTGACAACAGTGTTCCAGAGACAGGAGAGGCAGGACCAGAAAAGGTGGGATGCGAAACACTAGTTCCACAGATGTTCCAGAAAAGGTAGAATTTAGTTATTTTGGCATTGCATGTTTAATTATGCAGTGCTGCTATGATTATTTTTTTTCTGTCCATTTTGTTCCACAGCGGCAGAACGTCACTGTCTTTGCAGTGCTTCCCTGCGTTTCCCCCGAGGTTGATGGCAGGCGCTTGTTCCCGCACAGCACCTTGGTCAGCTCCGGGGGCTGCCCCGGCGGGGCCGCCGCTGCCGCCGCCCGCCTGCAGCCCCCGGCCCCCGGCCCAGCACGGTATCGTCGAGGAAGAAGGGAAACAGAGAAATAAAGCACCGATATCGCTGTTAGGGCTGCTGAATCTGAGTGGTTGAGGTGTGCTTCTCAGAAATAACAATCTTGTTACATAAGGAACAGGGGGAGAAAAGCAGATGTTGGGGATGGTCTTCGAGGTGGCCACTGCTCAGTCTGGCTGGGTATTGGTCTGAGTGATTGGTGGTGAATGATCCCCTTTGTATCACTTCCTTTTATATATATGTTATATAGAGACCCTGAGATTAGCTCAGTTGGTTAGAGTGTGGTGTTGATAACCCCAAAGTTGTGGGTTTGATCCCTAGACATGCCTTTCACTTAAGACTTGGACTCAATGATCCTTGTGGGTTCCTTCCAACTATGATTCTTCAGCCACTCCTAAGGATATATACTATATAAATAATACACTACCTTCTTGCACCTTCTGTGTACATTCATCAAGATTCCACACTATCACACGTTCATGAGAGGCAGAGCAGACAAGAGGTGGATTGATGTTACTTCCGAATGACAACGCAGAAATCGAGTAATGATGCCCTGACAAAAATAATGACTGACAAATGTAGATAAAGAAGAGTTAAATTAATCACCTCAAACAAAGGTTATGAACAATACAAAACTACAAATGGATAATATACATGCAGTCAACAAAACACTAACTAGTTTTTATTTATTGTTTCAAAATCACTTAATCAACTACAATGTAGCTATACTGGGCTTGTCTGGGATGGAAATAACTTTTTGCATAGCAGCACAGTGGTTTGGATTTTGTGACAAAAACAGTGATGATAATACATCAGTGTTTTGGCTGTTGCCAAACACTGCTTGCACAGCATGAAGGCCTTCTCTTCCTCACCACTTTTTCTCAATTTCCCCATCTCAATAATAGGTTGAAGATGCACAAGAAGCTGTAAGGGGACACAGCCAGCAAAGGCATATTCCCTACCCTATGATGTGCTCAGCAACAAAACTGGGGTACTGCATGAAGAAGGTGTTGAGGGCCTGGGGGATTGTCTTCTAAGCTGGCTTTTGCTTGAAGCCTGTACTGGGATTGGTGTGCTTATAGGAGGTGGTAAATGACTGCCTTCGTATGGCTTCTTTCTTTGTCTTCCCTTCACTCATTAAACTATCTTTAACTCAACCTGTGACTTTTTCCTCGTTTTTGCCCATCCCATGCTCTCCCCACTCTGCTGGGAAGGAGTGATCAGGACACTGTGTGATGGTTTAGCTGCCAGCCACGTCAAACCACCACAACAGCTTATATTACTCTTATCACAATAACAAAGCTCACAACAAGTGCTAATATCTTTCCAGCATTAAAGTGAAGTCTGACCCTTCTACATTACCCTCAGATATTTTATTTATATCTCCCTTACAAGCCTTAGTTTAAAGTAGAAGACTATGCAGCGATATATTGTGGCTTTACCTGAGCAGTGGCTGTGTTCCAGATGCATAACTCATTGCCGTTCACAGGGAAAGCACAGTGGTGGTGACTGCACGCCAGCTGAACAAGGGGCTCGGGCAGTTTGGCTTTAAACAAGCGCTTTTCACAGACAACGTCAGGATCGCAGCTTCCTCCAGAGGAACAACGGGCCCCGGCGCTTTCCATCCTGAGGCTGGGAACGGACCACCGGGGCCGGCTTCTCCTCTCCGGCTGCGCCCTGCCCGCGGGGGCCGAGGTTCACAGGGCCCGGGGCGGAGGACCCTCCCGCGGGGAGCCGGAGAGCCCCGCCCGGCCGGGCCCCTCCGCCTCCCCCCGCGCCCGGCGCGGCCCGTCACCAGGGCAGCGGCGCCGCCGACGGGTGGCCGGGCGGGACAGCCCTCGCTGGCCGCGGAGCGCGGCGGGCCCGCGGCGGCACCGGGGGTCCCCTGGCCTGCGCAACGGGCCCCGCGGCCGGCGACAGCCGCCCGGGGCTGCTCCCTCGCTCTCCAGACGTGGCAGTTCTCCGCAGCCGTGCCCTGGGCTGCACAGAAAGCAGTGTGGCCGGCAGGTCGGAGGTAGAGATTGCCACACTGGACTCCGCTCTAGCGGGACCCCAGCTGGAGCACTGCATCCAGCACGAGACAGGCAGGACGTGTTGAGCCCGTCTGTAAGGACAGATGCCAACACCTCTCCTGTCAGAAGACAGGATGAAAGAGTTGGGGTTTTCACAGAATCAGAATGGGTCAGGTTAGAAGGCACCACAGTGGGTCATCTGGTCCAACCTCCCTGCTCAAGCAAGGTCATCCTAGAGCACATGGCACAGGATTGTGTCCAGGTAGTTCTTGAATATCTCCAGTGAGGGAGACTCCACAGCCTCTTTGGGCAATCTATTCCAGTGCATGGTTACTCGCGCAGCAAAGTTCTTCCTCATATTCAGGTGGAACTTTTTCAGCCTGGAAAAGAGAAGGCTCCAGGAACACATTATAGTAGTCTCCGAATATATACAGGGGGCATGTAAGAAAGACAGAGAGAAACTTTTTACCAAGGCCTGTAGTGTCAGGACAAGGGGCAATGGCGTTACACTAAGAGAAGGTGGATTTGGATTGGACATAAGAAGCAAACTTTTTACAGCACAGGTGGTGAGGCATTTGAACAGGTTTCGCAGAGAAGCTATGGATATCCTGCCACTGAAAGGGTTCAAGGCCAGGCTCAATCAAGCTTTGACCAACTTAGTCTACTAGAAAGTGTCCCTGCCCACAGCAGGGGGTTTGGACTAAGTGATTGTTAAAGGTCCTTTCCAACCAAATTCTTTCAGTGGTTCTGTGATGCAGAGGGCACAGCACAGACCAACCCATGACAGCACATGAAGCAGCATCACCAAAAAAAAAACCAAACCTTTTGCTCTCACCAAGTTTGTAGATGATGCCAAATGGGGAGGAGCAGTCAGAAAGCAGATGATGAGAATTTTTTGGAGTCCAACAAGAGTAAGTGAAGTCCTGCATTTGGCACAGAGTAACTCCATGCAAGAGGACAAGCTGAAGGATGGCTGTCTAGGAAGGGGTTCCACAGAAAGGATCCAGAGATTTTGCTGGAGAAGCTGAATATGAACCTCCACTGTGCCCTTGCAGCAGAAGCAGGCAACAGCATCCTGGGCTGTGTTAGTAATAGAGAGTAGCCAGCAGGTCCTAGGAGTGCTTTTCCCCCTCTATTTGGCACCTGGAAGGCCACATCTGCAGTGCTGTGTCCAGTTTTGGGTTTTTTTGGTAAAAGAAAGATATTGACATACTAGAGCAATTCTAGTAGGGGGCAAGAAAGATGGTTGGGATGTGGAGAAGGTGATGCACACAGAGAGGCTGAGAGAACTGGGCCTCTTCAGCCTGAAAAAAGGCAGCTGAGACCTTATTGTTGCCTATAACTACAAAATTGTAGGATACAGGGAAGACAGAGATAGACTTTTCTCAGAGGTACTCAGCGATAAGCTGGAACTTGTGAAAATCCAATTGGATGTCAGCAATTTTTTTTTAATACCATGATAGTGGTTGAATATGAGAACAAGTTTCTTAAGAGTCTCTATCCCTGGAGTTGTTCAGGAGTCAAATGGACATGGTTCTGAGCAACCAGATTTAATTAGAACTGTTTTGAACAGGAAGTTGGACTGGAGGACTTTGGAGACCCCTTTCAACCCCCAGGTTATGATTTTATGATCAAGCGTGTGATCTGCACCAACTTAAACCATTTTGATGTAGATCAATCTGTGGACTCAATATCTACCTCAATTGCATTTCAAACAGATACTTTCTACAGGAATATCTTATTGTGTCTATAATTAGGACTATGAGCATTTTTGCCCTATATGGGCATCTAATATATATATTATCATTGAGAAAACAATCTCCTTGTGTTACTTTTGCCTGGAGAAAGTACCAGTCCAAATTCTCTTTTGTGTCTGCATGTGAATTTGGGTAAAGCCACTGTATTGAGCACCAGCTGCACAGAGGTAACTCAATGCACTGCACATGACAGTGATTTTCTGAACTGTGACTCATGGCTGGAAATACTAGAGAACATTTTATTGCTGGTGACAATTTTTCATGAGTGATACAGTCATGAATGTGTTATGACAGTTAATTCATCAGTAAAGAAAGACAAACGCTGACACAGAAAAAAGGTGTTGTTCTGCCAGACAAACAACCCCCATGAGTATTAAAGAACTTGTTCTGAAATATGTTGTGTCTCTGTAACTGCTTCTAGGCAGTTTAGTATGCTTTTTTACAATTTTCACCATAATTCATTTGCATCTTTAATGCTTATAGATATAATACTTCCAACGTCTTACTGTCCGTAACAAGTAGGGAACTAGTAGCAATCCAAGGAAGTATCAGAGATCTTGAACTGATTTCTTGACTGATCCAACAGCAGTTAGATCACCAGCTGCTTTCCTGCAGCTGAACCCTGAGCCAGTAACATCAATCTGATGGAGTCCAATTCAGACCATCACTGCTTTTCACCCTTCCAGTAGGTGCTGTTGCTTCTCAGTGGCCAAGATGCCACTCATCCAGCACCATAACAGGCAGCAGATTTCTGCCCTGTTGGAACAAGGCAACAGTTTTATGAGAACATTAATGATGTCTGAGTGTGCAAAGAGAATTTTTTACCTCACCACACCCCCCTGAAACACCTCCTGGTGATGCCCTGTTTCTACGCAAAACAATGCCTAAAGGATCTTGGCTCCAGCACGTTCCCACATCCTGGGTACCCACCCATGTCAATTGGAACTGACAGCCGTGTGGAAAATGAGAGACTGTTGCAATTTTAGGGCATTTTAGGGAAATAGTAGTCCTTTACCACATCATGCTTTTGTGTCCAACAGTATATTTCTATTGGTCTCAATATTCAGTCATTGTAAGAAGAACTTTAAAAATTAGGTTTAGCAGCTTTAATATTTTAATGTTTTAAGCAGTAGTCTGTTTATAAGATTGAAATTGATTTTTGAAAAGATGAAATTTATGAGAATCTGCATCTGGTAGGTTTATGCAGCCCGTTTGTTTCAGGTAGGAATGAACAGAACAAGTTACGCGGGTTTTATGAAATTGGAGGGCTTTGAAGACAGAACATTAACTCAGTTAATACAGGGCCCCTGGGGTACATACACAGATTCTTTTGAATCTTCCAGAACGCAAAGCACTTCATGTAGATTTTTTTTTCATTTCAATCCTTCATTCTTGCTTATGATTTTAAAAAACTCAGCCAGGTCATGGTATCTGTTGAAATCAATGAAATCAAGGGGTATTCAGTAGGACAATAGACATCAGGCAGAAACTGATGCACAGGAAGTTCCACCTCGATGTGAGGAAGACCGTTACCGTTTGGGTAACTGCACATCAGAACAGATTGCCCAGAGAAGCTGTAGAGTTTACCTCACTGGAAATATTCAAGAACCGTCTGGATGCAATCCTGTGCCATGTACTCTGGGATGACCCTGCTTGAGCAGGGAGGTTGGACCAGATGACCCACTGTGGTTCCTCCCAACCTGACCCATTCTCTGATTCTGTGAAAAGCAATATTTTGTTTTAATTTTTTTCTCTCTTCGCAGTGTTCTTCTGTTCCGTGATCTCAGGCCAGGTTTAGGCCGACAGCCAAACAAATTGTCACTAACTCCTGCAGGGACACACATGCCCCGGCAAGCACATTACGTCCCATTTCAGTGCAGTTAAAGTTAATTTCTCCAATTTTAGGCTTTCATTGTGAGGACCGCTGAGCGTGGCGCAGCACACCGCCCGCATTCGGACACCGGCGGCGTCTCCCCGTTCGCCCGCCCCGGCCCTTCATTCAGGAGCCCCGCGTGGCCCCGCCCCACCGCCAGCTCTCGCGATAGCAGGGCGGCGGCCGGTGCCCGAGGCGGGCCGGGAGCGCCGGCGGTACTGGCGGCGATCGGGGGACGGCGCGGAGGCTCCACCTGCCCCCAGCGACCCCCGCCCGCTGACCCGGGCCGCCCTCGCCGGGGCGCACCCGAGCGGCTCCCGGAGCGCGCAAGGGGGCGCGGCGTCCCGCCCTGATCGCCGGCTCCTCAGCGCCAGCCTCCTCCCGGCCACCGCGCTGCCCAGGGGCGGGCCCCCGCCCCGGGGAGGGGCTTCCCCGCGGCGCCCCGGCCGCGCTGCGCTGCCGCACGTCCTCGGAGCCCTCGCTGCTCTTCCTCGCCTTGGCCGCGGCCTCGCCGTCGCCGGAGCCCCGCGGCAGGTCGGAGGTGAGCCGTGCCCAAGCCCCTGGCCGGCGGGGTGACGCCGAGACCACCGCCGGGGCCGCCCCGCGCCCCCCGGAGCCGCCACTGCCCCCGGAAGGTGTCCCGCCCGCGGGGAGGCGGGGGCGAGCCGGGGCGGGCAGAGGTGCTCGTTCCTGGCTCTGTCCAAGGTCTCCTGGAATCGCCACTCCTCCCGAGCGCTGCGCCAGCGCCAGGACGCTTTCGTTCGTCCCTAGATAACTTTAATTATTTTCTGCTCAGATGTGGAGGTCCTCCTGTGCCTCCGCTCAGATATTTCATCGCTACTTTGATGTAAAAGTGGTAGAGAGTAAGCTCCCTGATACGGGGAGACAAAAGACTGTCCTTTCCTGTCGCTGTTGAGGGAGTTTTGTGAGTCTGGCAGGTTCTGCGAATGCTGAGCCTCCGTCTTTTGTGCTGGCTTTGCAGAATTGTGGCTTTGCAGTAGAGAGGCCTCTGGGGCAGAAAACTTGGAACTACAGAAATAGTTGTACATTTTTTTCCCCGTAGATCTGTTTAATAGTAAGACCTCTAAGGTTTAAGTGACATCTCAGTGGAAGTAATGCAGTTTGTTTAGATGCTAGCAGGGTACAAAGCAACTTACAGGCAGCTTTCACGTTTAAGATATTTGTAGTGTCCTTATGGAAGGAACGAGGGGATGAGAATCTTCCTCTTAAACTTGAACGTGTGTAGGATTGTGGTTCCTGTGATTTGCACACCAGATTCAGTCAGCTATATACTTTGGAAGGGAGGTTGCTGCTTTGCATGCACAGACTGACCACAGCTGTTCAGAGGACTGCAGTGTGGCAGGCACGCTCAGGCAGCCCAACTGGGACTGTGCAGCAAGGAGGGAAAAGGGTACAGGAGCCTTGATCTTGGAGCAGTCATTTTCATCTTCCCCTTGCCCCAGTACTTTCAGCCTTCTCTTCTGTAAGCAAGTGCTGTAAAGGGCTGGGTGTTTGTAGGGTAACAAAATCTTGAAAGTAAATGCATTTTTTCCAGGGACAATAAGCTGAATTTGGCCCTGGAAACAAGCCACACAGCAGAATCATAAATCAATGTATTACCTCATTAGATAATGTTTTTCTTTCTAACTCCATTCCCAGTGCAAGTCAGAATGCCTACTGCTTCATGTGCACATCCAGATTTACACCTTTACTGTCTTTTGAAGTTGAGGTGAGAGGATGGAAGAAACAAATAGGATGTCCTAAATACCTTATAAAAAGTTAAGCTTCTCCAACCATGTAAAAGCCTTCCTTTTTTTAACTGTTTTGTTTTAGTTTTTTTTTTAAACTGAAGTTAAAATAATTATTGGGTTTCATCCCTTCTGGTTACCTGTCAGATTTGTCAGGTATGCAGGTAGAATGAAACTAAAGTCTCTGTGTCAGTTCTGTATGAAAGAGCACTGGCTTGATTAATTTCTGTTTAACTTTACGGAATTCAGGCCATTTTCAATCTGATTCAGAACTCTGAATCTTAGCACTAGTTTTTGTTACTATTAAAAAATAAAAGTTAATGAAGACACTTAATTGAAGTTGTTTAACTTGGTACGGGCTAGAGAGGATTTATAAAAATCCAAAATTAAAAAAAAAAATCAATTCCTGCCAAGAAGGGATATACTAAAATCTGATTTGTGTTTTGTATTCACAAGGTAGCAAACGGGACACAGGAAGAGTCCAAGTGCAACTTCAGACCATGGCAGCACACTGGAGAAAAGTCCTGATAATATGTGTGACAGCTCAAGTACTACTTGTAAATGCCTTTGAGGAAGAGGATGTACCTGAGGAATGGATTCTTCTTCATGTTGTTCAAGGTCAGATTGGAGCTGGAAACTACAGCTATTTGAGACTAAATCACGAGGGAAAGATAGTCCTTCAGATGCGAAGTTTAAAAGGTGACGCAGACTTGTATGTATCTGATGTGACACTTCACCCCAGCTTTGACGAGTACGAGTTACAGTCTGTAACCTGTGGCCAGGACATGGTCCACGTGCCTGCACACTTCCGCCGCCCTGTGGGAATAGGGATTTACGGCCATCCCTCTCACCTGGAGAGCGAGTTTGAAATGAAAGTGTACTACGATCGAACAGTTGTACAGTACCCATTTGGTGAGGCTTCTTATAACCCTGAGGAGATGGAGGCAAACCAGAAATACTCACAGTCTACAGAAGATGAATCTCAGGATGAGGAGTCTGTTTTCTGGACTATACTTATTGGAATCTTGAAATTGATACTTGAAATTCTTTTTTAAATTGATACACACTGGACTAAGTCACACTTCAGCCTGTGAAATTGAGTATCAATGACATGCTGTAATATTTAATACTCTTTGTTTCCTGAAGAGGTATTCAGGTTACATTTCCTAAACCAGAAAGGAGGCGGGGAGAAAAAGCCATATTTAATTTTATATTGTAAATCCTCCCCTATATGTAAAATGAGCAACAAGCACAGTATTTGCAGTGCTCTTCAGAGATCAGGGCTTAAAAATGAATGTATAGTTGGGATCTTGTTAACTTCACTTTTAAATAGGTGCTTAGAAAGATCAATTCCAATTCAGTATTTTCTATTGTTTTTTATAAAGAAAAATGAAATAAACTCCTGTACTTCAGTCCCCCCCCAAATATCCTCAATTTAGAACATATTTAAAAATAAAACCTGCTGCTTTTCAAGCAAGTATCTCCACTAAAACTAACTAGCAATGGGTTTGAGTGTATTCATCAAGTTGAGGAGCCTAGGGCAAAGGAAGGAGAAAACAATCACCTAAGGGGATAGGTGGTCTGTATTTTGGCTGTGTGTGCTCTGCATCACGTCAACCATTTGTCAAGCAGAGATCTATCCAGTCACTCATTGCCACTGCAAATCCACGACCTGAATGAAGTGCATGTTGCTTCTTTGCTGTTACTGTAGTGAGAGGGAGCCTTCAGCTGTTGTTACTTGTCAGTATGACATTTCCATGTCTCGTTAAAAACAACACAGCATATAGTATCTCGAACTTGAGGGGTGCTTTCTTACACTTCCCTTTATAGCTTTTTGTGATTGATCTCTTTTTTTTAGCACATCTTTATGCATAAGTCATTAGCTTGCAAAGAAAATTTCTGCTGAAAGGAATTTGCAGTACATTGTAAGAAGGTCATGTCATACCCACTCTTCCTCTAAAGTTACTTTTCCCAGAAATATTTTTTCTTTAGTTGAATCTTTCAAAATAACCAGTTGCTATGCAAGTAGAGTATATTTAAAATGCTCTGTAGTTTTCTTTTCATGGAGCTTACTGATGAGTGCACTAAAATAAACAAGTACATTACTATAATTTTATACAAGTGGTGGATGTACAATTTAAATTTCATTACTGAAAGACTTCTCTTTCAGAGTGGAAATTTGGTTTGTCTATCTCAACATCTGACAGGACATGATTAGTGACATGTATCACAAAGAAATAATTATATAGACAAATTTAAAAGTTTATTTGGTAAAAAGAAAAAAAAAGTGGTATTGTTCCTCTAAGAGTGGTTGATTAAATAGCACCAAAGTATCACTTTAATTTGTGCATTTAAGTTTTGGAGAGCAAGTTTTTGGGGTTTTTTTAACCCTCTTTGCTGTTTTTCCCCCTTCTTCCTCCTCTTCTGGGTACAGGAGGGTCTTTCTGACAACAATCACAAATCCAGCGACCTAAGAAAAGAAAGTTATCAATTATTGGGAAACTAAGTTTGTTACTCATCTAATTATGCACCTTTCATTATTCTAATAGGTGCTTATCTATTTGCAGTACTTCCTTTAATGCAAAAAACCAGTGCATTTCTTTAAAACTAAGCATCTTTTCTATAAAGCAGCATATACAATTCATGCTCCCTTGCAGACCCCTTACATGTAACCACTGGCTACACAAATCCTTATGGACCTCAAGAAGTGTCAGCACTGCTAAGGAGGTGGTTATTAGATAAGACTTGACAAACAATGCTCAAGTTTGCCAGTTATATTTTCAGGTGAATGACTATAGTTCAAGGTTATGGGAAGTTAACCAGAGCAGAAATGAATGGCAGTTGGGGAGGCATTTAACTGTTTATATTACAACAGCTGGAATCATAAAGGCTGCCTTGGTAATTTTATAGGATTTTAGACATATGATTTATTTTGTTTACATTCTTAAGTCAGCCTGAAAGTGAAATCAACCACAGAACCTGTACTAAAGTGACAGCTAGCACCAGTGCTTCCCTAAATGGGACTGTACAGCATTTCTGAAGTACTGTCCAGGGCATACTGTCACTGCCACAGAATACTTATTCATAAACTTACTTACCATGGATTTAGTATTACATGTAAAGCAACAATAGCACCTGTTATTTTCTTTCTACAGCCTTGAGTTAGCGAGATGATATGAGTGACTGGGTAATTTAAAGGTACAGGCTGCCTGCCTGCTATAGAGGTACTTCAGTTAGAGCTTTGATGTTTAAGTAAAAAAGGGAAGGAAAGGGTTTAAAGAGGTGTTTACAAATATTGAAACTACTTTTGAATTTAGAAGCTGAAACAGCTGCACCAACAATTAATGTGAAAGCTACGCACTAGCAATATGCAGCAATACAGTCTCTTTTACAAGTTTCTTTCATTAAAAGAGGTAATTACCCTCAGTGTTCTATGGATATGGAAAAAAAAATAGTTCTGAGTGAGCCTGTTTGGTTTACGTTGTAAAAGCCCATTATATTTCCTATACAGGAATTGCCAGGTTAAACTGTGCACAACCAAATATACAGAAATAAAGCATATTAAAAAAATCAGGTCCTACAGTATGAATGCTTTCCTACAGTATTTCTTACCGCTACCCTTCACACTTGTTTTAAACTATTCTTTCAAAAGCAGTGCATGGATTAATGCTGAGAGAGAGCGCCCAGGACTCAGAGGAGGTGTGAAGGGAACAAGTAACTCTTACTTTATTACCTGAAGGGATAGCATCAAGCCCCACACAAAAAGTGTGATAACCACGGTCACATACGTCACAGAACATCATTTCTTCTTCATGGTGAGGCTGCCCACATATAATGCACGTTTTACACTCCATACATTGCCAAGGATAAGTCTTAATCATAGCAACAAGCTCCGGGGTCATATCAAGGCAAGAAGGGTGGCCTAGATTAAAACCAGTATTATTATTTTTATGTCTGAAATGAAATTTAAAATTAGTTACACTCTTTGCTTTTACCAAAGCTGAAGCTTAGCTCACCTCCTGGTGAGATCCCACAGTGTGCTAGTACATACAACATGGAAGAGAGATGGAGTCTTAATGAAGGACAGAAAAGGCAACTGAACTGTTGCTGCACATGTGTAGGACACTCAATATGTCCACAAAAAGATCTGTCAAACAAACTCCCTTAGGAATCCACTGAGTGTATGCAGATACTTACCACTGTTGTCACACTGGGAGCAGTGTATAAGAGCTTCAGCTTTTCCTTTCTTGTTGGAGTCCTTACCCTTCAGACAAATTCCACATATAGCATTTGGAATGACCTTTGGCTGGAAGGGTAGAAGAGGGCTATAAATTTATTCCAGAAGAATTTACAGATTCAACAGGAAATGTCATCTATCTCCTTAACTATTAAAATTAATAAACTGTTAGGATGTGTGAACCTTAAAACACGTGACAATAACTGACAAGCAGCGGCACTGAAAAAAAAAATCATAGATTAAGTACATAAAATTTTCCATTTGTCATACATAGTGAGTTATATATAAATCAAACTGTATCAAAATCATGTACTTGCTTCTTCCCATGAATTCATCAGCTGACATGCTCCTCAATGTAAACTAAACATGACAGGATGAAAAATTTCACTAAGTTTTTTCCAATCTAGAATACTACATTATGAACTACCATGTGGATTTCCTGTTTATGGAGGAAATTATATACAATTTACTTGCATTACATTTGTCCCTAAGTAGAGAAAATTAATTACAAAAGCAATAAACTTAATTTTTTTCTATCTAGCTTCAAATTATCTGGTTAGCTATCCCATACAGAGCTCTCTCTTTTACTATCCCTTCTTGTATCCACTCATAATCACTACAGGAAACAGAGCCTTGCATTTAACTACAGATTTACATGCATAATTTTTCTAAGTGATCATGTGGAATGTGTCTGGGTCCATGAGATCCATTTAAAGGGTAAGAGAAATAGCAGGCTGTTACAATGGGGAACATTTGTCTATATGTGTCTATTCTGTGTCCCAACTCCAGAGATACACCAACAGTTTTATCCCACTGAGGAAGAAGTACGGCATTACAAATTTCAGAAACATGGCAGTAGTTGTGTTGTTGAGCTTTGACCACTGCATAACGACATTAGTGACAAATGTAGTTTACACTTAATGCAGTGCTCACTGATGGTAAACTGACTAATGCCAGTGTTTTAAAAACAATGGTGCTGCGTAGACACAGCTAGTAGAGAGAGCTGAAGGCATATCCTCTTCTAAACAGCTTGTCAGTAAGCAAGAAGGATCCCAGTCAACTACCAAACACACATCGGGAGAAGAATGCGGTTTAAAGTAAATTTAAAAAGTGAAAACACAAATATATATATATATATATTTAAAAATAATTACTGAGATCTTTTGCAATACAACTTATCTTAAAATGTGTTTATTTCTCAAGCCAGTTTTTCCTGGCACCTAGTGAGATAATTAAAATCTTGACTCACTGTTAGAGTAGTCAGGATACAATGCTTCAAGTTTTCTGAAGTTTTCAATCTGATTTTTATGTCAAAACATGGCTACAGCCTACTTCAAATTGTCTGATCTAAAGAGTTTTATTCAAGAAAGCAAACTACCACACCAGATGTTTATAGGTAACTTCCTTCAAAAGATGACAGAGGCATTCATAGACACTTTTTTTTGCTTATTTATTTTAAAAAAGCAAAGTCAACCTGTTTTATACATAAATATAATAAAACAATAAAAGAAGTCTAACATTCACAAACATCTCTACAAAATAATAAATATAATGGAGGCAAAAACACATACAAACTCTTTTACTGTTAACTATACTATGTGTCCTACATACATACCTTTATACCCTGCTCCTCCCAACAAAAGTGGCACATGCTTAAACCTCATCAGCGTGGCAGCATTTACCCTTCTATTGTTTAGGCTATATTCTATTTTTTTTTTAATTGTGTTTCAATCTATTTCTAGGAAAACCAAGCCTTTCTAGAATAGCAAGTTCTAATCAGACTTCTAGCTTTGTATTTTTCTAGATTTGTATTTTACTGCCTTTAATATACAACAGCACACTCCCTTGGTTCTCCAGGCAAACGAAAGTGAGCACTGTACCTGTGTTAGGGTATGTGCAGTTCACACTCTGATAAACGTAACTCTCAAGATAGACATTGATGTAGATGCATTTATTAACAATGCTTCCATCTAGTCTTACTTCACTAAATTGTATTCATTAGATACTGTGCATGTTAGGGGGCATGAAAATCACAGCCTAGTAATAATGAAGTTCCAACAGTATGGAAGTATATTTACAAAAAAAAAAAGACTATTTATATTTCAAATCAGCTCAATTCTACCACCATAAATGGCTTTTAGAAATGCTATAAAAAACATCTATCAAACCTAAATGGGAAGTCACAATATCCCATTTCATTAGGAGTAAATTTTGCTTTCTATGCCCTCATCTTATTGGGATAAGGATGGGAGAGAAAACGAATGCAAGGTCAAAACAATGACTGCCTGTTCTGTAAGTTTTCACTTCCATGCTGCTGTGCTGCAGCTCTCAAAGTCAGCTTTCCAACTACACCATTCTTATAACGTGCTATTCTGAATGCAAAGCATTACATTTTCATATGCAGTGACCCAAAACGGAAGTGTTGCAAAATATAGATTCTCAATACGTTTCAGTTTTATGTGCAAAAAATCTGTACTTTTAACAGTACCCTGTGTGTGCAATTGTAGTAGTCAGTCCTGCAGCAACAAAGACTCGCTACTTGTAACATGACAAAATGTAAAACACATGCTAATTGTTCTTTGTTAAAGAACTGACAATAAAAAAGACGCCATATAAAATACAATATTTTTTTACTCAAAAATAACTCAGTGGAAATGTATGGAATCCTGTAATACTAATAATGTGGCTATTAATTGTACATATGTATGCTGATGCCATAGCAATTATCCTTCAATTTTAACTACATGTAACCAAAAAATTAACTGTTCTACAAAAATAGTCCAATATTAGAGAACAATACAGAACAAAAGTATTATAAAGACTTAGAATTCACAGGGAAAACATTTTAAATTAGTTAAGCCTTCAGCTCAAAGTGCCTTAACATTTAGGCACATACGGTAGGTATATAGTTTTCTGGTATTTTTATAGACTCACAAACAAGAATCATTGTGTCTTACCAGTTAAAACAGCTCATGTAATTTGGCTTATCGCAAGCTTTCAAACATTCCCACAAAAAAGAAAGCCAATCCTCTCACCCTTCCAACATAACATCACCACCTCTGACTTATCAGATGGCTGATGCAGGCAGGGTATGCTGACATTGCAAAGATCTGGCACTGTAAGTTTACAGCAAGACCTTGTTACTAACAGAATTGGTGATTTTGAATCAATAAATAATTGTTACATGAATCCATTTTCAAAATGCAATGCTGTATACTACCATTGCTCTTCTGCAATTAGAAGTTCAGAACTTTGATGAAAGTTCTGCTCCATTAATTCTCTCTTTATGCATTCATAAGGCCATTAAATAGACTGGACTAATTAAACACTTGAGCATCTCACAGCTAGACGAAACTTCTGTAAATCAGTGGCACACAATCTCTAATGTCAAGTTAAACAAAGCTAAAGCAAAATTTCAGGTTCCATCTTTGGATTTCATGTTCATGGGAATATGAATATGCATTCCGTGTCTACAACATCTTGCAAAGTTACATATAAAAAAATATACATATGGTAATCACAGTCTAAATCTCCATAGTTCACATATTTCTTAGTAAGTTCCTGAAAAGAGAAAATGCAACTGGAGCTTGCTGTCTGCTATGAACTTGTAAAGATAGTGTATGTAGAGAAAATTTATCAAAGCTGTCCAATTCTTGCTGGAAATTAGCTTCTTGATGTAAGTTATAGTTTATTTACTATTAACTTGGTAAATACAGATAGTAAATATTTATAAATATAAAATGCAAGCCACCAACAGCTCACTTTTGCTGAGACTGTGTCTCCGCATGTACAAACTTGTCACTGACAAAAGTGTTCCTTGTCCTGTAAGTCTCAGCAAGTATTCCCGACTGTTAAATAATCAACCCTATCTTAACGAAGTGTATTCCCTCTCTATGGGTCTATTCCTGCTCCCACATAAGTCAGTGGAAAATTCTTATTTCTCTCAGTGGAAGAGGACTAGATAATTATGTGCTTTGAAAGTGTTTCAGGATTATTCAGATCCTTTCTCAGTATGCAGAATAATAACATATAAATAATGCATGTCAATTCCCATTTCTCCTGAAAAGTATTTTTATTTTAACGTTAATCTTATTTTTACCTTAATCTTATTTTTATCTTAATTTCTGAAATTATTACACAGGAATACTGGGGATTTGGGTCTTAGGTTTGGCAATCACTGCTTGACAGCTGAAATGTCTTAACATCCTCACAAAGTTTTTAGCTTAGATAAAAGAATATGCCCACAAATGTTTCTACATAGTAAAAACTACATAAAAAGCTATTTTCCATATACTGTTACAGTGGTTATGTAGTGTTGCCTATACAACTGTAGTAAGCTTTTTGCCTTCCATGTCATACATCGTAACATCGCAGGATAAAAGGCTATATTTAAAATGAATGTCACAACAATATGTTCAGCCATACAGCTGCACTTTACAGCACTGGTCTCTTGGTGCACTGCTAACTAAACAGTAGGGAAAAAGAACGGATAGTGAATGATAGTTTTAAACTGACACATACTTTTTGACTGCTGTGTTAAGGCAGACAGAAAGATGTAGATTTCCAATGCGAAATCCACAATGGGTTTTGCTAGTGTTACTGCCTAGGAATCCAAGAAGTTAACAGAAAAGAGAGGCCACTGTACAGTTAAGGTAACAGAAAGCCCCACATGAAATACAAGCAAAAAGGAAATAAGGAAGCGAACAGAGGGAGCACACAACAGGAGAACAGCGAGTGAAGTACAGCAAGCAGAAGTTCCATATTATTGAAAAAACCAAATACTTCAGGGAGAGGCTGGTGAGTAAAGTTCAGTCAGGGGCTTTTTTCTTCTACCTTGTACCCAGGAACTGATTTGGGTAATACAGAACGTTTGGAACCATCTTTTCTTGGAGTAGCACTTTTGTCTCTTGTTTTTTGTCTTCCCTGAAAAGAATCCTCCTGGTTGTCTGTGGCGCAATCACCTTCAGATACATTGCCAGACGAATTGTCCTATAATAAAAATACCATAGCTATATTTTTTTATTTTTTGGATAGACAGACAAGTCTTTTGTATGCCCCTTAGAGCCAACTAAGGTAAGAGAAGGGTACATCATTCCTTCTGCAAAAGCATAGGGTTTATCACAATCTAGAACACCTTTGCTCACAACATTCATTATCTATTTTTTCTCATGCTAAGAGATTGGCATCAGCAACAGCAGTCCTGTTTTCCAGTTGGTCTTGGCACCAGTGTGGAGAGCACAACAGTGTAATTCTTTGAACCGTTTTCCATTAAGTCAGCAAGAAATCCATTATATGCAAGATGCTGTTTACAAAGTAAAGGGCCAGCAAAAAGTTAAAAGTGCCCTTGTCATGCATTTAAAGTGTACTACCAAACAGCACTGCCTTGAATTTAATATGTGAAGGTTTTTTTTCTGCCACCCTCATCTACTATTTTCACCAGGAGCAATCTAAATATTTAATTTGGACTGCAGCAGAAAAATGCCATCAAGAGCAAAACACATTTCCATATTTAATACAGAACCAAACAACAGGATTTACGTTGCAGTTAAAGGGTTTTTTTTTTTGAGGAATGAGGAGGCAAGAAAGAGAAGAAGAGTTTCAAAGAGGGTGAGAGATCAATGTAAGCATAATAAAGAGCAGCAGCACAAGACTTTTCTCAGAAAAGTGTTAATAAAGGCTTCCAAAAAAGCTCCAGAAGGAAGCAGCATGATTATTCACATTTATTACAATAAAACCCAAGAGGCCAAATAACAATGGTGCCCTACAGTAAAACATGCTCTATACAAACATAATAGTAATCAGCCTAAAACCAAAACAGACATCGGGCAAATGGAGGGGTATAACACCAAAGCCAATCAAACTATGTGGCAACAAGAAATGCTCTGTTTCACCATTATTTTAGGGGAAGGGTTATTTAGGACAGACCCATTAAAACACTACAGAAAAGGAAAACTGCTACCAACTTCAAACAATGGGGAGGGTGAAAAAGGAAAAAGTATAAAGCCTAGTGTAGGACTCACCAGGGAGATCTGACAGATGGTAGGTAGCCCAAAACTTAGAGGCCTGACAACAGCCACCTCCGTGTTCAACAGATGTTTTTCCTGAACTATATGCCCATCCTCAATGACTAGCAAAGAACCCCTGCTTCCACAGCCAAACCCATTTCACAGGAATCTGATTATAAATTTTGCACATTTTTCTACACTTTTCAAACTAAAGGACATTTTTCCTTTTCCATTCTGTCACTAAAAAAGACTTCTGAACTTCTATGAAAAATCAAAGGATAGTCTGCTTGGCCCAGTTACTTTTCTTTACCATTAACACGAATGACTGTCAGTGGAAACGGAAACTGGGAAAAAATGGTTAAAGACCAACTTTAAAACAGCTGGAGTGTGATTAAACCAACATTTTGAGTTGACATTTAACATGCTAAGTTTATATAATTTCTTCTAAAAAAATGCAAGCAGAAGCAGTGTATTAATAGCCCTCTCTCCTCTGTTAATCTACAAGCTGACCTCTTCCTTTCTTCTTTAGTTATGAGTATCTTTACAAAATTCCAACAAAATAAATATTTACATGGCAAAACTTAGAATTATACATACCCACCATCAAACATGTTCATCAATCAGACTAGAAACTGGTAAATGCACCTGTGACATTCCATTGCTGTTAAAATTAGGGTTAAACCTCTGGAAAGTGGTTGTCACCAACATACAAACTACGCCAATACACCAATGGTTCAGTTGCACTCAACTCATTTGAAGCTCAGCTGCTCTCGAGCATTTAAAACACTATCAAGGTAGGTATGTGGAAGTTTTCCTTAACTTTCAGCTAACGCTTAATTTTGTATTTGCCTAAGTAGAGAGAACATAAATATCTGTTTAAAGATGTATTGTTAAGCAAAAAAACCAGCACTTTTTACCCTCTTTTTAAATTGAAATAAGGTCATTGTTTCTGTACTGAGTACTTCCTGCTCCTATGTCACAAAAAGTTATGAGATTATAAACACCTCTGCTTTAGGGACAGATTCTGTGGGACTCTAAACAGCAGAATATACTGTGACCTGAACTACAGTGTTCGTTCTCTTCAGAAATGCTAGCAACAACTTCCCCTTGGGGAAAGGGGTACAATGAAGAGCTGCATTGGGAAGTTTCTTCAAGATTTCTTAAAAAAAAAAAATAAAAAAATTTGAAGAAAGGGCCTGAAATTTCAAGTATTTGTTCCACTTACTTTAAAAATGGATCAAAGTGGAAAGCTGGAGAGTAATGTGATAAATTAAAATACCAAAATTGTCCTCCTTTCATTTTGGAAATGTTGAAAGGTTCTACTAAGAAACTAGTGAAACTAACAAAAGTGAAGGGAAAGTATTATTTTGTTCAAGAATACTTTCAGCTTATCTCACCGAATTGCCTTTGGTTTTCCGTTTTTCATCACCTCGCCCTTCCTCTGCATCATCTGAATCTCCATCACTGTCCAATGCAGGCAGCTCTGGATCCAAAGGAGGTTCATATAGAGCTGTGTTTAATGGCAAGTAACGAAGTTCATCTGGAGAGTATCTAAAGTTAAATAAATAAAATTAATTAATTCACATGTACTTGATGCAAAAATTTTAAATCACGTAGTATACCAGGACATCAATAAGAAAGAGTAAGAAACACTTCTTTTTTTTTCAGGAAGGCACATAAAGATGTGAAGTTCTGAAAACACAGGAAACATACTAATTTGTCCTCCCAAATGTGATACCATCTAGTAGTTGTCTTCTTTGTAGAGCAGATATTCAGAGAACACAGGAGAGTGTATTTGCAATGTTCCATAACTGTGTAAGGGACCACGGAACCACTACGAATTTTTAACCAACCCATGCTACTATGCCAAACAGACCATACATTTTGTTTATGAATGTACAGTGCCCACATAGCATGTGTAGAGTTCTAACCCAGGGCACACGAATACATCCAAAGATAAGGAAAGAACACAGCTGTACATCTGAATTCCTTAATTATTGAAGGAGAATGGAAAAATACATATAAAAATATAATTTCAGAAGAATGCAAATATCTAATCACATTGCTTATAGCCAGATACAGCTTAACATCCATATTCTAGCCTTTTTCTTTTTAACTTAAAGACTAAGAAAAAAGTAAAAGTCGTCTTACTGCTGATGACAAGCATTGTAAGAAATAGAATACTATTCTGATGTACATTTTGAAAGGTTGTGTCTTTCACTGAGATGGATAAGCAGTTTCACTTGCAGCTTAAAAGTGCAAAATAAACATGATATAGAGTAATTTTAATTCTATTAGTTTAATAAAATTGGAGTCCTTCAAGAATGTCCTGTAGCATGCAAATTTGGGGTGGGCTGTACAAACACACACTGGAACAAGCAAGGTACTTGCAGATGAAGAGCTTCTCTAAAAAAAACCAAGCATGTACAGAATGAATACCATCTCTGTTGTACAATGGTAAGACTTCGACAAAATCGTCAAATCAGTACGTGTCTGTTCAATGGTAGCATGCCACTAGTAATATCTTAAATTTATGTAAACCGTCAAGGACACATTTTTCATGAAATGTAAAGATCCAGCTTGCAATGTCTTTCTTTCTCACAAATCCAACATCAAATTTATCCCAGAAGAACAATCAACATTTTTTTTTAAATTTAAGGGTTTCTAAAAATTTAAAAAAGGACAGCAAGACTGTCACACAGAAAACATGTGATCACAAGCCAGCACTACAACACACTTTGACACAGAAATATTAATCTTGGTACACATGCAGAAGCAGATGATAAGTAAATATGTGAGGGTGGCAGGAGTGAAATCAATGTCTCCTTTTACCATGGTAAATATTTGAGCAGGACAAATCTTAGGCACTGCAATACATCAGGGTAGACAGTACTTTTGCAGTCATTACTGACTGCTGTTGACAGAAAATGTCACACTACGCATCTTCCAAGATTAGCAAGTGTCTCAAACATAAAATTAAATCAAAACCTTACAGTAAAGACACTGAAATGTTTTCCATCTGCTACATGTAGAGAAAAGAGATAAGTGCAAGAGAATTGGCAGTTGGCATGCTTTTAAAATACCTTTTGTAGTACTCCTGGAACTGGCCGGGTATGAGAGCCACTGGATAAGGACTAACCTTTGTTCTCTCTGTAGGTAAGATTTTGTATTTTCCTTGAGGCACCTGGATAATCTGCATTGTTTAATATAAAACAATGACATTTTTGTTTCACATACAAACTGTTGAGTCTTTCTCACCAACTATTCCCCCAAATATTTCTTAACTAGTCAGTTTTATTGAACTGGGAGAGCTACCTGAGTTCTTCCATGAGAAATTCAATTCATTAAAACAGAAGAGGTCCCACTCACAAAACAGTATTATTTATTAAATCCAATCCCTAAGTATCTAGTGAACTGAATGAACATTACGTAAGACTACTTCAAACAGTGTATTAGGAAAAATAATTTTAATATTAAAATCTAGCAATTGAAACAGTAAACATTAAACTTTTGTGCGTGGCATCCTTAGTGTGAATTATCACTGTTGGCCCATACTGGTTGAAAGAACACATCCATCTAAGTCTGAAACCAGACTGCAGTGTAAAAAGTTCCATTAATAATACAAATACAAGGAAAGGAGAAGCGTACATAGAAGTCTTCCTTCCCTCAGAAGGAAATAAAATTAATTATCCACTATCTTGCCTGTAACATGAGTCAATACCAGAAAGATGTAAAATTTCCACAATAGCCTGCCATGTAATAATTTGCAGAGAAAATTTTTGCTGCCTGTATAGAAGCAGAACAGTACTGCTTCAAAATGCCAGCTATTTTTTTTTATCAGTCACAGAGGCATATAATATATGCAATACAAAAATAATGTAACATCTAATGAAAAAAAGGGCATAACACTGACGGTAACACTCTTTCAAAGAATTAATAGTTTTCTTTTTTACTTCAGGTATTGTTCTGGCAAAATTTTGGAGGTATTCCAAAGAAGAATTAGCCATTTATATAATAGCAACAGAAGCTTCTTAGTAACCTAAACAACCCTCTTAGTTTTATTCTTCTTCCATCAAAGACATAATAATAAAATAACACTGATATTTTTAGAGCTTCCTCAGACAAGTATTTTCAAGTTAAAAACGCTTTCAGATTAAATATATTTGAGATTATTTTTAGCACTATTACCCATTTAAGAGTAAAACTGTGTAAGTCTCTACATGACTGAAACAATAATCAAAAACCTTGACAGAAGTTAAAATGGTACGAAAACCAACTTTACTAAAACAAGTAAGGAGCTACCTGTTAACATTGGTAAGAAATTTAAATCTGCCTACATGAGTCTGTAAATCAAAATAGGCTCTTCTTTCTTCCATCCGCTCTCGGTTTAAATTGCTGTTGAATTCTGCAGCTTTCTTGGCAGCTTTTTTAATGTATTCTGGAACTTTACTGGCTTCTACTTTCTGTGTGTTCTGCTGCTGCATTTGCTGGAATAAAAACAATTTTATTAATCCGCATACATTTCACTATCAGTTTGAGAACAGCCTTTTCTCACTCTCAGTGTTACAGATGCGGTTCACTTATATGCTAATTACTTACAGAGTACTCTTTATAATGATCTGTTATTCGCTGACGTTCTTTCTCTTGCAGTATAACAGAATACTCAGCATGTTTGGCAGGGTATTCCTTAATCATAAGATCAATTACTTCATCGCTACGCAAAGCTGTTAGACCTAAAACAGATAAAAGCAATAATGATGCTGTCTGGCAAAAGCAACTGTAGGTTATTTATATCCCACAATAACCAACTCAAGTTTTTGAGCAGCTAAAGACAACAACCTACTTTGCCTGTACCCAATGAGCCAAGGCTCATGTCATTTCTTCCTTACAGCTACAGACCCCTTCAGATTGACTTAACCACCTACTTAGAACTCCACAGTGAGGCAGAACCTTTGTTCTAGATGGGACCTAGTAAACTGTTAGTTTCAGTTTCCAACACTGATCAAATCAACCTGCAGAAGCTTTACTGAAATTACGAGGTTTACATAACGTCTCATACAAATCAAGAAAGAATCACCATGAGGGCAATTCACAGCAGCAAACTGACTCCTGACTCCCAACTAAAACATCTTAAGTTCATAAGTCAGAACTCCTCAGTTTGCAGCCACAATGCAGAACTCTTCTTCTAGAGGTTCCAATACAACTAATCTCCAAACACAGACAATGGAACGGAATGACTTATGTTACTACCACTGGTTATAAATATAACCTTAAAAATAAGGATAGTTGACTCAGCACACATCTCTGTTGAATATATGCGACAGAATATAACATTTTACTTCTAGTAATAAAAATTAGATATGGTCTCGTCTGTATAGTCAAGTTAAAACAAACAAATACAGAGGTGGCAGGTGAGAAATAAAGGTGGTATAGCAAAGATTGTTAGTATTTAAAATGACATTACATTTACAAATTTACCCATGATATACAGAAAAAAATGTGGCAGGCATCATTTAAACTCTAACATGTCCAAGCCACATATATTAGCAGGGTAAGAAAAATATTCTTCAAGCTCTTTCAATGTAAGCCTCAATTACATCATTCCATTTCAAGTACATTAAAGTGCCTTAATATACACTCTTCTTGTCTCTAATACAGAAGTGGGACCCTTTAAGAGCTCCAACCAATGCAGCAAAACAAGACTGATGTACTTTTAATTTGAAAAATTATGGTGGTCTCTTTCTTAGGAGAAAAAGGTTCTAGAAGTTAATTTACCAGCTAGCAAAATCCCTTGTAAGTAATTAGATCCAAAATATATATTTTTTATAATAAATCTGGAATATTGATACTTCATGGCCAATTTACCAAATTAATAATAAACCGGTTTTAATTTCAGAATTTATGTTTTCAGTTGAGAGTGATGCAGTTCTTCTCTACCAAACTGAACCTTCTTTTTCTGCGTGTCATAGTTTTTATACTGTAACAAGGACTCTTAATAATTTGTTTTCTTACCTAGTGTGCATTGAGTCTCTGTGATAACATTTAGTTCTCTGAGGTAGAGTTTCTCCTTGTGAGACAGATCTCGCCTTTCTAAATCTCCAAAGAAAACAAGAAAGAGCAATAAAACTGTGTGCAGTTACTCAAACTCCTCCATAAACACTGTCAAAGTATTTTGACAATTTTGTTTCCAGGCAGCTAGTCTGTATTATACTACTACTTCAACAAATACTGTGATTTTATAAAATAATTTTAAATTTAATACACAGTGTAGGGACATGGTCAATTTTCTTGAGTACCCTGCAGTTCTGATATACAGAAAACTAAAGAAAACATATATGAATTTAGATGCAGTAATTATTAACAAGCATTAAAAGTACAGTCTTTTTAAATTTTACTATGCCTTTTAAAAATAAATTCTATGATAAAAGTTCCAGATTTAACAATTCTGAATAATGAAGGCTCAAATACTAGAACCTCCACAATTAGTTTCAAAATTCTTCCACAATGTAGGAAAGTTGCCACAATTCAGGAAACAGAATATATAGTTAAATAGTAAGAAATGACCGACAAAATACTTAAAAATAAAATTGAGGTAATTTTCAAAAGGTACTTGCTGATCTAATAATCCCCAAATCAGACTTTTTTACAAATTTTTAGTGGCAATACCAAAAAATCTTATATTATTTCAAAAACCATAGGATACACTTGCAATACACCAGTAACAATAATAAAAAGTACAACATATATAATCCAGTATGCTTTTGCTAGGTCTTTTTTTAAACAGTTGGCTCATGCTATAATCAAAGAGACATAGACTGCATCTGTTTAAAGACACAATTTTGTAGAAGAAAAACTTTAAAAATAAATACCTGGATATTTTCTTTTAAAGGAAGTTACACCCAAATATTCACTGACTTGCTCCTGTAGCATATAGTATTCTCCTGTTTCATCTGGTGGCCATTTGTATTCTATCAAATTTTCAGCAGGAAAATAACTATATCTAAATATAAGAACAATGTTAGAACAAATCACAAGAATCCTTAAGAGTAATACTTACATTTCAAAAAATTCAATAATTCCTATTTATATGTCAATAAACAGTAACTATGAAGTTGGACAAGCACTTCAGAACACTACATCTTGTTAACCCATTTCAAAGTCACTTTGTTACACCCAGTTACTTTGTTACACCCAACTTCACATACCATTCATCCAAATAACCACTTTAAATGTCCAAATAACCATTCATCAGCATGTTAAGAGACAGAACATAAAGGAAGTGATATCCATTATAGTGGAGAGGACACCAGGAAAAGAAACTACTACAGTGTCAAAATTCATTCAAGAAGCATGCAATGTTTTAAAAACATGTCAGCTATGTTTCTGATTTTGTATCGGATGCAGCACTTTTTGTAGCATTTTAAAATAAAATGCCTTAAAGTATGCCGGGAGCAAAAGGCAGCCAGCTATTAATAGAACATCGCCTCAATTCAGAAAGAAGAATGTATGAAGAATATGAAAGTAAAGAAAAAGAGCTTTACTTAAGCATATTGAACAATACAGTAAAACTTGCAATAAAAAAAGTGAGAATTGTAAAAAATGGTATTACCCAAGGTCTTGACTAGAAGTTTCACAGCTCCGAGAACTGTCCCCTGAGCCCATACGCCGTCTTTTGGATGGTTGGCTGCCATCATTGGAATTTTCTTCTGTGTCATCCTGAAATGCAAATTAAGGTAAATATTAAAAAACTAAGAGTATTCAGCAGAGGGTGTAAAACACCAAAAAATATTGCAAAGCAATCCACAATTTAAATATACCTGAACTACTGAGCTGTTCTATGTACTCTTAACAAAAAACTCATAGGACAACTTATGCAGCAAATTATTCTTTGCTATAAACCAGCTGCATAAGACATGCTGGCACAGAAGTAGAGTTAGGTGGTTCCTCAGTTGTTGCACTGGTGGACTGAACAGACAGAGCTGTAGCTCTGACCACCAATAATTCCTGATGTAAGCTATCTCTGAAACTTAATCAGACTAGCTCTCAAAAACTGCAAGTGCAGAACAAAAACACCAAACCCTTGCTGAGAGCTGATGCTTAAAAATCAGGGAAAATATAATTGAAAGCAATGCAGGAGTTTATAGGCATACTGTTAAAATTAAAGGAATGGTATACAGTTTACAAAAAGTATCATTACAGCAAGGAGCAAAGACTTGTGTTTTGTGAGGAAAAAAAAATGAAAGAAAAAACTCGACTTCATATTGCAACAGATATAGAACAAAGCTATTACAAGGGAACACTCAGAAGTTAAGTTACAGGTGTACAGATTTCAGGAGACCTATATAAAGAAAGGGAATGAAGGGTGAAGAAGAGAAAAAAGGACCAAAACAAAACACAGAGTTCTGTAAAATCTAGAAGACCAGTGACTCAGTTGATCTTGAATTTTTCACTGCTTTGTTGTCCAATAATGCTATACAATTCCTACCTGCATCATCAACAACTCTCAAAGCATTTAGTGACCAACCCTGTCTGATCAAAACTGAGATAGAAAAAGCAGAGAACTCCAAGTAAATTGCCTATTGTAACAGGTAGTAGAGTCAAGAACAAGACAGTTTTTTAAAGTAGTTGAATCGCTAAAGTGGAGCAGCGTGAAAGAATCGCATTTTATAACTTCCATGAAAAGTTTAAGCAAGAAGAATTAACCTGTCAGAAATAAATGGATAAAGCCCAATTATACTTACTTAATAATGCCAAGAATGATTATTAGGTTTATGTTTGCTAATGTCTTTCATTCTAGTAGGCTTTACATATCATAGGACTTGAAATATCAATTTAGAAATGTTCCAGCAAATGAGAATACATTACTTTGGTTATGTAACATTTCACAATGCTATAATCAAGACAGGCCATCCTATATTTTTGGTTTATTTCTCATTTTTCTCAATTCTTCACAAATTTTCTTTCCTGTTAAGGAGTAAGAAGAATATCTTTCACACAATAATAAAAAGTGGAAAGCAAAATATAATTAAACTGTTTTCTTAATGCAGCCATCCTTAAAGAATTAGGCATGCAGCATCTCCACTCGTATTACTAGTAACGCCATTTCCTAGCATTGCTGTATAAACTCAGGTAGACAAACCAAGCAGCAGTCCCCAATCAAAACAATACTGCGCTATTTTTTGACACAGCTATGTCTCATCAGCAGTTCATCCCTACTTCCCACACAGAATACTAATGCACTCCAAACATTCTGAACTGCTAGGCAGGACCAAAGCAATGCTCTACTATACCAAAACCACCAAGAGACTTCAAAACATCTTTAAAAGATAGATCTCAACCTGACAGTTTGGTGGAAGTGCCTCATATCAATTTCTACTTTCACTTCGTAATTTTTGTTTTATTAAATCTTGTAGTGTTAAAACAACGAGTACTCATACCACAGTAGAGATGAATGTCCTCCGCTTACAATTTTGCTTACTTATTTGATAAAACTTCAGCAAATTTAATCACACAAGCTCATGAGTAAGTTTGTTGCAGAGGACTTAGCAGAAGTGAAAACACTGGCAGTGCGATCTAAGACACGCTGCTGTTCAACGACTCCTACTGTTCAAAAAAAAAAAAAAAAGAAAAGAAAAAAAAAGGGTATAGTTCTGTAGCTTTCTTTACACGACAAGTCAAACGCTGCCAATAAAACGCCTAAAATTTCCTTAGGAAAGGTGACGTTCCGAACTCCCGGTAAGTCTATTAATTATAAGATCGACGTAACGATCCTTTATTACTCGATTGGGAAGCCTGAACTACCCGAGATGTGTTTCAAAGAGCGATGTGTTTCGATCTGCGTCGCGAGCACTCGGCGCCACAAGTGCCCGCGGTTCCTGGGACGCGCCGGTGCAGCCCGGCGTGGCCAACGCGGAACTGCCCGCGGCCGAACCCAAACTTTCCCGGCTGCGGCGCTACCGCGCCGCCCCCGGAAAGGCGCCGAAGGACTTTTCGGAAGCAGGGCGGCCCCGGGCACCCAGCCCCGGACCCGCGCCCTCAGCCGAACTTCGGGCGCGGGAGGCCGCCCGGCTCCCCCGGCGGGTGTGAGGCGAGCCCGGGGCGGGCGGGTAGGAGGGGGTTCAGCGCCCAGGCGGGGGAGCCGCGCGAGGCCTCCCGTCGAGGCGGCTGTAGCGCCGCAGCCCCACGGCCGCCGCCGCCCGCTCTCACCTTGAGGGACTGCGCGCCGGGCGTGGCGGGGTCGCTGTCGCAGAGGCGCGGGGACAGCACGGCCGCCATGGCCGCCGCCGGCTGGGCCAGAAGCAGCGCCGCCGCCGCCGCGCGACCGGGCCTCGCGCCGCGCCCGCCGGCCCCGCCCCCCCGCGCCCTGCGGGGGGCGACAGCGGCCCCTACCGGCCAGCGCGCGCACGGACGCGGCGGCTCCTGCTCCGCCCCCCTCCGGGCAGCCCGCGGCGACCCCGGCCCGCGCCGCCGGACCGGCACCCGGGCCGGACCGGCGCCGCCGCGCGGGACCGTCGCCGGGCACCCGCCGCCGCCGCCGCCGCCGCTGCTGCCGCCGCCACGCCCTCCTCCTCCTGCTCCTGCCGCCGCCGCTCGGGCGGCCGCGCGGCCCGGCCGCGAGCGCGAAGCCGAGCCGCCGCGGTAGCGCTTGGGCAGCAGCGCGGGGCGGAGGGGCAGCATCGCCCCGGGGGGGTGGTCAGCGCTGAGCGCGGGAGCTGGCACCCAGGAGGGCCGGGCTGCTCCGCTCCGCCGCCAGGCTCCCGTCTCCGGGAACGTCAGCCGGGGACGAGCTACGTTTGTGAACCATCAGCCCCCGCAGGAGGGGGGTACGGGGGGCGGGGGGCGCACTCGGAGGAGCCGCCACGAGCGCGCTCGCCCCTGCGAGGAGGGAGGGCGGGCGCGTGCGGCCGTTCCCCGCCGCTGCGCGGTCGTGCCGAGGCGGCTGCGCGCGGGGCAGCGCCGCGCCCCGCTCCCGGTCCCGCTCTCGCCGGAGGTGAAGCACAGCCCTCCCTCCTCGCCACCGGGAAAGACCCTCGTCCCCCCAGCGCGGGGGCCGGGGCGGCGCGCGCGCCCGCCCGCCCGCGCGCAGCCGGGCCCCGTGGGCGCGCACGGCCCCCACGCCGGCGAACAAAGCGCACGGCCGCGCCCCGGCCCGGCGCCGCCCCCGCACACTGGCTCCCCCGCACCGCGGGTGGGCGCCCACCCCAGGCCGGTCACCGCCCCTCGCGGCGCGCCCGTGCGCGGCTCCAAACGCGCTCGGACCCAAGCTGGGCCAAGCGGCAGGTGAGAAGAGCACGGCCGCCCCGTCCGCGTTTGTTCTCAGCTCCCAGCGACACAACTGACACGGAGGAGGCACCAACCCTCGATTTCCATACACGGCAGGTCCAAAAACTGATGCCTACACACTTCACAGATTTGCCTGTGCCTTATTTATCAAAATACAATCACTGCTGCCCTTGCCAGTTATTATGGGCCAGTTACCCTCGTTACTGAGCCCATCGTCAGTGCCACTGCAAGCCCCTAGACTGAAGTGCAGTACCTGTCCACCAACCTGAACCCGAGACCCAAGCTTAAGGCCTGGGCAACCTACTGACTAAACTTTCACTTCATTCAAGGCAAGACTGGAAATTTGCGCAAGTTTCTAGGACTGCAAAAGTTTCCAGGCAGACTGGCATTTGATCATAGATAAACTAGGAAAAAAATGAATACTGTCTTTTTTTACAAAAACCATGCTTTTAAGAAAACTGATACCTGCAATTTCATATAAACATTCGTTAACAGTCCTAGGCACACAACAGACAAGCAACATTCAAAATTTTCCAATGTTTGGCCTTAACACCAGCTGCTTTCACTTCCACAGCAGAGCATTAAACAGATGAAACCCATATGTACTCATGTACATATGTTCCAAAGTTTTTTTTTTTGGGGGGGGGTTGTTTTTTTTCTTAACAGAGAAAAAAAGAAGAAAATTATCTCAACTGTATGTCAGTTTCAATGTGCCAACAGCAATAGGATAAAAATGAATACTAAAATAATGATGCTCTGAAAATTTGCAAATGTACCATGTACTGTGATGCACGAATCCATCTGTGGCTTTCAAAGTATTAGTCGTAATAACAAGCCATTACCAAAGCCAGCGCAATAAATGTTTCAGTTTCACATTTAGCTGAAACCCAATTGTCTCTTTGAACATCCCAGAGGCATCTGCTGGCAACCTAAAGGGAAAAAAGAGAAAAAGCTATTTGTGAATATATATACAGCACAGGTTTACTATTTATTTTTTAAAGAACACACGGCATTATCTAAATGCTAATCTAATCGTATTATGAGAGTTACAACTAGTAACAACAATGCAAAAGTTGAGTGAAAATTAACAATTTCTATTCGATGTTAAATACATGTTCTTGCTTCACAGTAAAGCTCCCACCGATAGATCCAAAAATGTTCACTTGTTGCACTTTAGCATACTGTTAAGAGCACCCCTTAAAAAGCAGTAGAACATGTCTATGTGAATAGACATTAGTTTTGGGAACATATCGAACTAAGAAGTCACGTCCCCCACTCCTCCACCTCCAGCTTAGTCCAGTCTTGTGACCATTTACTGGGCTCTCAGCTTTTTTGACAAAATTGTTTTCAAAGCTAAACTCTGTGAACTGATGGCTGGAATAAACATATTCCTTGGGAGAAAAAAGTTGACTTGGACCACTTCACTAATCTGTTTGCACCTTATTGTTTTCAATTTGCAAAACGTATTATGAATAATGTTCACTTACAATCATTGCCTGATCTGTCTTTTCCACAATTAGCACTGATACCACATATTTATAACGGTCAAAGCCAAATCCCTTCACAGCCTTTAATATTTCTTCTGAGATTGAAGCACACAAGAAGGGACTAGAAGCTCCATCGTAGTTGGCTTGTTGAAGTTTACTCTATCAAAAACAATTTCGAAAGATCTTAGTTTTCACCCTGGTAGCCTTTTGCAAAAAAACCTTTTACAGTCATTTTCATTACAAGAATACGAGAAGAACTAATGAGTAGAATAGTCAATATAGATGATACTCCCAAACAGCAAAGGATGCGCTACTTTCACGCTAAAATGTTTTATCTGTTTTTTTGAAAGGGACACACATTTGATGTGTGTCCAGCCAATTGTCCAGCCAATCTCAATTTAACAATGAGGAGTGTATTCTTTTCTATCATTTGGGCTCAGTTCACAGGAAAAGAGTGCTACAAATACCAGTTCCAAACATCCAAGGCATGTCTTCCAGACAGCAAAATTAAAAAGAGCTGGTTATAACTATTCAAAGTATCACTAACAGCTACGTATTATCTCCACAGATTGTTTTCTTTCATTTTTGCTTAATTTTTATATGTAGCAGTCTGACGATTAAGAACACCACGTATATTTTAGGCAGGTCATGTGATATTAGCAGAACTAATAGAATTCCACAAACTTGAGGTCATGATCTTTGGCTAACTGGATATTTTGCAGATCAGGGTACTTTGAACTGGGCTGTAGCTCAACTTGATTTCAAAAAAGGCAAGCGTTTAAGAAGATTCAGCTCCACGTAAACAGCACCTAACAAGCTCGGCAGCGACCTTGCAGAGGCACTTCTGCACTTTGCCAAAACAGAGCACATTCACAAATGTATTTCTGTGGCAAAACTCAAAGACTGCAGAGATTTATGCATATGCTTAAGTTCATGCAATTTACCTTGTTCCATAAGTACCTTTGCAAGACAAGCTACTTTTGCAATAAAATCAGACAATTAATTTAAAAAATACTGTACCGTTAGTATTTGTTGAGCTTTGTCTCTTACTAAACAATCCCGAAATTTATTACGTGACTCCAGTCTGTATGTGTTAGTGCTTTTTGTCTTTGCCTGTTCTTCCACTGGAGCCCCACTTGAATCTTCAGAAAGAGATCGTGTCTTTTTTCCTTTCATCTGAGCAAAATAATCAGAAAGTCCACATCACATGTCAATATTTTCAAATTTAACAGTCTTTAAATAATACTTTATGGTGTACAGTTAAGAGGGGAAAAAAACCCAACAATTAGTCTAGGAATACGTTAACAAAAAACCCACAGAAAGCTAGAAACTGGTTATCTTCTGGCTCTTTTAACACTACTACTGCTTTGACTAAAAAAAAGGTGGTTGACTTCCGTTCCCTTTTGACTTCTTTTCCAGCAAAATGCAACTGAAGTTTGCATTTAAACTCAATCAGACACACTATATTAGTAGCCTGAATCCACTCCATTTTCCAAGTAAAAATACATAGCTATTAACAGGTCCATCCAAGACTGTTAACCACAAGTTCAAGCTTTTAATTCAAACAGCCTACACAACACCCAAAATATGTACTTGGTTCATTCACTACTTGATTTTATTTACCCTCATTCCTTGTGAAATTACTAAACTAATGGCTTATGTATTGATGACATAATTTGCTCTTAAAAAAAAAACAGGGAAAAGGAAAAAATAAGCTCCAGTCTGCAAATTATTGTAATTTTGCTTGAAACTTAAATGCAGATTTCTGAAGATCCAGTTTTCTCCCCATTCAGTTGTGTATTATCTCTTCAACAAGCAAAACAAAATTTGTCCCTCTATGAATGCAAACAGCAACTCTGATGTTGCAGATAAAAGACGTCACCTGCTGTCCTCCAGGGCTGGCTTAAAACAGAACTGTAAAATGATAATAAGACAGAGACAGAAAAGCACAAGGAACCAAAGAGACCATAACAAATGCTACAGGCAATGGTCTTTCATACCAGCTACCTCCTCATGAACCACTTTCACATTTTGCCAACTCTTCGGTCTCTTGCTCCACTTCTTGACTACAGCTAGAACTTAGACAAGAGTAAATCATCAGTTCCTTCCCAGAAGGGCAGAAAACAGCTCAAAACAAGGCTTACATTAAGAATACGGGAAAAAAAAAATCATACGCTTGTGGATAATATGAAAGTGTAAAGGGAATTATTTGAAGAGATGTGCTACTCAGGGGCTCACAAATCTTTCAGTCCAAGGAGTTTAAGAATAAGGGAAGAAATGCAGTTTCTTCTCTATGAAATCACTTACACGTTAGCCTTGTCAACGCTGTGGACACTACTGACATGTCTCCTCTAGTTCCTTAAAACTAGTGATTTTTGCATCCTTAGTCCTAATTGCCTGCAGGTGTTTGTTGATACCACACCAACACTGCAAACTCTGAACAGCACTTACTCTAAAAATGTATGGAGCAAACACATTTGCACTTAGGCTGTAGACACTACATTCTAACTGCAAACTCAGGTCTCAAATGACTACCACCCTGACATGCTTGTCATAGGTCTCCTAACAGAAGAAAAACCACCAAAGTCTTCCAGCTGAGCTGCTCAAATGAACACTCCGATTCACGTGAGTAGAAAAGAACCTGTGAAAAAGGTCACAACCCAAACAGCAATTCTTTGCTAACACGGTTCAGCTTGAGTCACAAGATTTTCAGCCACTTCGATTACAGATGGAAGAAAACTCATGTCTATAGCACATGACTTCTAATAATGCTCCTACTTAAAAGTTTACCTGCTATTATTAGTGACAGAAGTTTTCATAATCGTTTGTAAAAAGCCATTTACTAATGAGGCAACCAAAAACCTTATTGATTTCTCTAAACAAACAGCTAGTCAATAAACCTACTTCTGTATACCACAGTACAAACACTATGATTTCAAGTTTTAGCACAACGTTGCAATTACATTTCTATATAATATTTGCACCTCTGTGAAAAAATGTCTCTAAAATTCAAGAACTGACTTTACTTTTGATTACTTGACCAACAAAAGCCTGTCCTTATATTACTGGCCTACTACTACATTGGCTTAACCTTGGATATGTGAAAATAAGTATGCTGAGAGAAAAAACCTTTTGCTATTTGAAAGAAATGTTGTTACTAAGCCTGTTTAAAAAAAATAGCTGTTAAAAGAAACAAGAAACAGTTCCTGTTTATTTCTTCAAAAGGGGTGCTGCTCTAAGTTAAAAGTTGTGTCCTCAAGTTGGAAAGACTGCACCACCAAAGGGAGGACCATCCTTTCCTTCCCTTTACCTTCGAAACAGCTGGGCCTCCCAGTGCCTTAGCCAGCACGCCAGCTGCAAGGCAGGTGTGAACATGACACCTGGCCAAGCAGAAAGGGGACGAGCTATCCCAAGCCAGACGCCAGTCAAGGGGGAACAGTCATCCTACAACTTTTCACAAGATCACAGACAACTTTTAACCTCACACCGAGCCCCACGTTCTCCCACGCACTGTCCCGCCCTTCCGAAGGACATCCTTCCCTCCCAGTTGAAGCGCTGCAGGCCCGGACCGGCGCCTCCGCCTCAGCCGGGCATCGCATCGTGCCCGCTGCCCTCGCACCACTCCCTGCCCAGGGGGCCGCCAGCCCCCGGCAGCTCAACCCCCGGCACTTCCTCTCGCCCTGCCGCTCACTGTGTCTTTATCGGCCAAGCCCTGGCGCGGCTTTCCTCCCTCCGTGGGGGCGGCGGGCTTCATCCCCTCGGAGCGCTTATCCGTGGCTTCCCCCGCCGCGCTGGGAGCCGGGTGCGGAGCGGCCCCGGGGCCCTTCCCGCGCGGCCCGGGCGTGACGCAGCGCGGGCGGGGCCGGCGGTAACGGAGGTACCGGAGGTAGCGGCGCCATGGCGGGGGCGGCTCCGGCAGCGGGATCGGGGGCTCGGGGCTGGGGTGGCCGCCGCCCTCAGGGCTGCGGACGGGCCCTTCTGGGCCTCGGGCAATGCTGCGGCCGGAAGGCGGCGCGGCGGGGAGGAGAGAGGAGGAGGCAGCCCTGCCCAGCTTCTGCCAGTGCAAGCGTGGGGCTTGATGACCTCTCCCTCAAAAGATCACAGCCCTGACCCACGCCCGGCCTGTTTTAGATAAATAATAATAATAAAGGGTGGCTGCGTTAGTGCAGGATTTGCTCTGGCCTCTTGTCCATGACAGTGAAACGGAGGGGGGAGGGAAGGACAAGATGAAGGTCTGATGATATTTTATTGACGTTTCAGATTTTTTTTTTTTTTTTTAATAGAAGAGAGGTACTCCTGGTGGCAGCTAACACGGATTCCCGATAGGAACTGTTACCCTTGCTCCGTTCCAATACCCATATAAATATCTCATCTCTCCTTGAAGACATGAATACAGGAATTACATATCATGAGGGTCTATTCTGCCACCTAATTAAAGAGAAAAAAATGTTTTTAATGCAATTTTTTTTATTTGTTGTGGTACTTCATTTTCAAACAATTTCTTGTCTGTTTCATTAATGAGAAAGCATGACTTTTGGGGCTTTTTCTTTACTAAATCAGAAGCATTTTCTTCATTTTTAGCATGGAGCGTTATATTCTTGCAAATTTTTTAGTTGAAAGTGTGCTTCTGAATCATTAATGCTTAGATTGTAGCTAACATTGCTACAATGGGGAGGAATTCACATGTTCCTCCCCTACCCCCCTCCAAGGATTTTGCTGGTCGTAAGGACTGGAGCTCTTGATTGTACTTGAAGTAGCATCAGTTTCTCTGCAAGCTCAGAGATTAGACAGAACATTTATGTATAAACCGGGATCTTTTGCTTCAGTCTATCTTGTTATGAGTTCAGTAGATAGCCACTCTGAAATCATCCTGGCACTATGAAAATAGAGCAGTTCTACCCCTCAGTTGTCCCAGGGTGTTTCTGGTCGAGAGTTCCTTTCATCATATGCATAATGAAACTTGTATTGCAAACCTTAACAGCTTGTTTACAGATGCCATATTACTGTCTATCTGTGCTAATGGGTGTGTTTTAATAATTTTCTTTGTCTCGTGCTTTCTTGATACAAGAATTATTTTTGTTTGTGTGTGTTAGTTCTAGATGGCGTTGTCAGACTCGGTCACTACTTGTCTTTCTCAACCTGTGCATTATGCAATTTGCAAACTTGGATTTGAGAAGAAAGACACATATGATATTAACAATATTTTATCTGGAAATGGTGAAGTGTGTTGGCAAGCTGTTACAGAGCATGTGTGTTACCTTGAATCAGGTTGGTGTTTACCTGCTGTAGTAGTGATGATACATTTAAGACTGATGCAGAATTTCAGTACCACACAATATGATAGCAATTCTAGCTGAGTTACAACATTTTGCTACAGTACAGCATTAACTTTGCTACTGATTTAGGGTATGTACAGTTAATATCTACAAAGAGCTTTAAATTTTTCGTCCACATTTGGTATTTGGCTTTTGCTGGCTCCTAAGGTTCGTGTAATCTGTAGCTGCTACTTTGCCTTCATCTTGGTTCCCAGTTTAATGTGCCTGTAACATAAGGGTTCAGTCCTGCTTCTTTCCAACCTCATAACTGCCGCCTTCTGTGTTCTTTATATTCCTTTTGCAGTAAACTTAAAACACTCAGGGGCCATCAGTATTCCTACTGTTGCTTCTGGTTTTGTTTCTCCAACTCTAGCTTGTACAGAAGTACCATTTGGTTTCTCTCCTGTATGTAGAATAGTTTATAGTTGTTTTTTAACTAAAGAAAACATTTATGCCCTGATGAACTCACTGAATTTTAATTTACCAAATTGCATCATGCAAGCTCTGTTATTAATTTCCAGAGGTAGTAAAAGTGATACATGTTTCTGCCTCTAGGACTATCTCTCAGTAAATGACAAGAATTTATTTTCCAGTAAAAAGTGTCCCACCAAAAAGAATCTGTGATACCACTCTGTAAGGTACCATATCCATCTGCATTCTTTAAAGGGTGTAAGTGGTGCAACTGGACTAAGCCTGCTGAGCCTGCACTAGCTTCCAACTCGATTATGTGGAATTTCTGTAGAAATTCTAGTAGATTCTTCCCATTTCAACAAAAGCAGAACATTAATGATTCTATTTACTTCCATATTTTCTTGTGTTTAGGCTTTGCTGTTTTTTTTTAATTTTGGTTGGTTTTGTTTTGTTTTATTTGGAGATGGGCAACTTACCTGATTTTGCACTGCAGTTTTACTTTTCAATATCTGTGTTTTAGACAGTAAATTGTAGTGTATTAATTGTGCTAGAAAAGTCTGGATAAAATTCTCTGTGCTAAGTATGTACACAAGCTCTAGCAGGTTTTATTCCTTATGAGTTTTAAAATATTGGACCTTTGGGAAGACTGGTACACTAATCACCTTCTCTTTTTCAATTTAAGATCAAAGTGTGGATTATATCAAAAGCATACGATCATTAGGACCTGTATGTGAGTCTGTAAATGTGCACTTCAAATCTCTGACCAAGGAGCAATTCATAATTCAGTATGCATCGTGGTTGCACTGGACAAACTGCACAGAGGTATAGAAATTTCTGTTAACAATTTGTATTTTGGCACACGAATCCTTTGTGGAAGTTTAATGTAAGAACAAAAAAGAGATATCCGTGAACCAAAATGTTTAGAATTTGTGACTAATTGTCTGTCTCTGTTATGTGGTTGCTTGTAGTTTCCCTGACTTTGTAATTATATTTTATATTAGAGAACATGAGGTGCTTTGGGCCTGTTCTAACATAAGATCATAGGATTTTGTTTTTCTAATAATCTGTGCCTAGTATTGAGCTTTATGTTATAAAGTTATTGTGGATAATTTTTATATATGTAGGGCACTACGTATCAAGAGGTTCTCTAGGGAAATTTCTCTCCAGGCATCTATATTTTTATCTCCTTGGCACAGTTTTCTTTCTACATTTGTATAGCAACTATCTCGGAGGAATATTTAGGTTTCTCTGTGCTTTTTAAAATTTGATTTTTCCTTCTGAATGTTTAACACAACATTCTTCCTCTCCTCAATCATACAGGTATTTCTTGAAGTGTTTGATGTTTTACAATATACACAAACTACAGAAGTTGCTCTTGGCTTAATGAAACTAACATCATGCTTGGAGCGAGCCTTGGGTGATGTAAGTGCCAAGATGTGGAGTCTGTTACAGATTTGCCTTCTTATAAGATGGGAATGAGCTCTTGGATTTAATTGTATATTGAAAAAGTGAAATTAGCCTGTACTGTAGTAGTACACTAATAGTCCAGGTGCATTTTGAGTCAGACAGAGGTTCTTTTCTGGATCCAGTTGTGCTGGGGAAGCATCATCTGGGGCTCCTTCACCTGCGCTGGTAGCATTGCTTGTGTGAGTGCTGTTACTAACCAATTTAATTAAAAAAGAAAAGAGTTTGATTAATCAATAGGTCTTTTCTACTTTGATTTATTTAACTGAAACAGGGAGCAACGTAGCTTCCACAAAAGATCTGATGGTGTAGTAACTTCTCTGAGGAGTGGCATGCAGGTGGAAAAATGGCCTGCTAAATAACTTTTTTCCTGGGGAGAAGGGAGCAATGGCTATTCAAAGAGTGTTTGCTGCTGGGCTATATTAGGCACAGATAAGTTAAAATAGCTGGTTGTTAAATATCTATGAGGAACTCTAGAGAAGAAAATGACGGAGAAAGAACAATGGACTAACTCACAGACAAATTTGCCCAAGAAGGGGGCTTGGTAAATTTAAAGTAACAAAAAATTACCAAAAATTGGAAAAAAACTGTCAGGGAGAATACAAAGAACAGAAGGCATGATAGCAGCTGAAAGTAGAGGTGCTGAGATTGCCCAACAAGGATAAAACCTAGTTTAAGGAACGGCCTGCATCAGAAGACAAACCATAAGTCTCCTCCGTTTAATACTGACAGACCCTGTAGATTTCTAGGGTAAGAATGAAATATCATGTCCTTGGTAGAGTTTATTCCCATAATTATGTTCTTGTTGTGCTTTACTGGTTTTTTGTGGTTTGGGTTTTTTTTGGAAGAGAAGAGCAGTACATGTACAGACACTGTAAAAAGCCTAACTATGGAAACATTAAGAAGGATATTCACTCCTTTCTGATATGTTGCCTAAATTTTAATTTGTCATGAAATTACAGAATTTAAAACCTTTTTAAGGACTTGCTGTGTTTTGTTTGATTAGTGTTTTTACAATCATCGTCATCATCATGGCCAGGCTTTGTGAACAAAGATTTGGGAAGGGCTCTACCCACATTTGCTACAAGTGTGCTGGTGGCTAAAAAGGCCAATACGGGATAGACAAGTCTGGTTGCAAAAGGCACAGCAGAAAAACTCCTTAGGTGGTATCGACAAGACACAATTCTTTCTATATTGTCTTTTGTCCTCGAGAGTGATCCTGCGAGCGTTCTCAAAGGAAGCAGCAGCGTTATAGATAGTGTATCTCCAGACCTCTTGATTGGAAGCCAGAGTAGACCAATGATGATGATGTTTTTACAATAATGAAAATGGTTACTGGGTGAAATAGTCAAGTTATATGTTTGAAATACAAAGAAGTACACTAAATTATTTATGTTATCTGTTTTGCTTTTTTTTTTTTAATAGGTATATTTACTTAAGGGTAACGATTGCCCTTTCCTTCTAAGAGACTTGCTTGCATCTAAGCAGCTAGCAGTTATCTTTGGACAAGCTGTAGTAAGTGCACACTTTTGAAATAAGTAATAAATATTGAGCTGGTTTTCTTCCGGCCAAATGGCAGGTGTCCAAGCGTAGCCTTTACTTGTACTGAAGAAGAGGTTGCAAATTCTGTGTATCTTAGATTTATTTTCATTTTATACATGTTACCGTCTGGGGGTTTTATGATTCAAAGAAAAAATTAATATTGTAAAAGAAAGAGTTTTAAAGGCAAGATCATAAGTTCTTATTTCCCTTTCTGTATGAAAAACCTACATATGTAAAATTTCACATACCTGGCAGGTGACGAGCAGAGTTCATCTGCCTCATTCTGAGTTGCACCATTTGAAAATTCACATCATGCACTGGCTGTTTCTGATAAGCTGTGTTACTCTTGGGCACCAATGTAGTAACATGCTTTATAACATTTACCATATCAGAATTTTTAAAAATAGAGGAAACTAATTTGCAAAAAAAAAAAAAAATCCACAAAAATTTGATGATATTTGCACTCTTGTGTAAACAGAGTAGGTGGATCTTCCACACGCAGTCTTACAAGAGCACATTCTTTCTTAGAACAAAATATTGGGTGTGAACTGCAGAAGCCTGTGTTGTTAGCCAGTCTAGTAGTGTAACAAAAACTATTTCTTGAGTTTTAATGGCATATGGAATACTTAAATTCTTACAATTGAAAAATAAACCAGTTTCCCATTTTGTTTGATAGTGATCTAGGAATACAACTTTGAATGCAAATTCTATATTTTATGCTAATTTGCATTAAATTATGTGAACTTATACTACAAGAAGTAAGAGCTATACTTTATCTCATTTTTTTGCCTGTCATAACTGCTTGGAATGTCCAATAACTAGTTTTGTTTGTCCCACATTATATTCTATAGCCTGTACAAATAAGATGAACAATTTCCTTTCAGAGAATGCTGGGAATTGCAAATAGTGAGTTTCTGTCACTGTGACAAGCTGTGACAGTCATGTTGAAAGTAGATATTATAGTTTCTCAATAAGTTCTGAAGTTTTCTGTTAGGGAAAGATAATAAAATTAAGAAAGATAATAAATAAATAATATATTTCTTCATGCAGTAATTATTTTGTTTATTAATTAGATGAATGTACTGAGGATATTCATTGGCTCTCCATATGGTCTGAATCTTCGTAATGTTTTGTGGCATGGATTTGCATCCCCACAAGAAATTCCTGCCAAGTAAGTTACCAAAAAAAATCTCATTTTCTTAACAGTCAGACTTGCGAGTTCTGGAAAAGTGGATAGTAAAACTTACTTCTCTCATGGGGAAAAAGAAATAAATTGTCCAAAGGCCTCTGTCAGTATTCTGACAGATTTCCCCTGCTGCTGTTTCTTCTCTGGAAATGGATTTCTGTAGAATACTTCAGCCATTATTAGGACCAGTGTTTTTTGTACTGTTAAGTTAAGTAAGAAAACTTAACTTTTTTTTTGAAATTCTGTCAGGGCAGTGAAGAATAACTTGGAACAAAAGGCACAGGAATAGGGTGGAAGGAGGAGCAACAGCAGCCAATAGAGAATACAGCGATGCTTTTTTCCTGATTCTAGTCTTTAATTTTTTTTCATACTTGTGAACGTAATTAGTTATTAAGTGCCCCTGCTCACGTGGGGAGTGTAGGTTTTGGGTGTTCTTTGAAAGAGTGAAAAAACCCTTTTATCCCTAACTCAGAAATGTTGATCTTTACAGAAGATTTCTTTGTATAAGCTTTTCTAATATATTATGTTATTCTCCCTAGATATTGTGCTATGCTGCTTTTTTTAACTGCAGGGTTGGGTCAGTTGTTGCAGACTTATCTTCTGCAAAATAAATGCATTTTACTACATCGACCTTATGTGATCTTCGTTAGCTTAGAGGAGCTTGATGTATTTCCAGGCAAGTATTTAAATATTAGCAAGTTTTTTATTATCTTATATTTGCTATTGTTTGATTGTCCAAAAGCGCTGTTGAAAATAATGCATCTTCTAGAGTTCCAAGATTAAATCTTAACTAAGATACCTGTATATACTGTCATTAGATGAATCAGTCATGATTGTAGGACAGCTTTTTAATAGGTAGGCAGTTGCACTGATTGTTTAATCAAAAAATACTGTGTTCTAAAATAATTGTAATACGTTGAAACATGAAACATGACTGCTTCTAAAAGACTTCAGCTGTATACTCCATTTTTTGATTATGAGAGTTCATTTCATCTAACGGTCGTCTAGTTTGCCTTTACAAAATCTAACTTCTTCCAGAAACAATGGGTTCCAGCTGCAAGGGTCCCAGCAGGAGTGCCCTCAGTCTTACAGGGAAGATAGTGCTGAAACACAGTAAAGGATGATGACACATCTTCAGTATACTAATGCTTTTCTCAGGGAAGCACTTGAAGTCAGATTAAAACTGTCTCATCTCCCTGTCTTCAGACCTTATTTTGTTTATTCCTACTATTTTTAAGGCAACAGCGGCATATGGGAAGTCTTGGTGTCAGTGGTCATCATGGTCGATTTGTGCTATATAATCTGTTTGCCAGTGGAACATCCATCCATGGAACTGAGACAGGGCTTTTGGGAACCAAATCAAGCTGATAACATCCCAATAATGTTGTAGTACAAATGCTATAGCTGTTGATTTGCTTTGAAAAAACGCTAAGTGCAATCAAGTCCCACTTACCATTTTAATCTTTCTTTTGGATAAGACATTTATAATGTGAATGCATATATATGAGTTTCATTACATGGTAGCATTGAAGTATGAAGTGTTAATTTACTATGCTACGTGTCAACACAGAAAATTAATAAAGTAGAAACAATGTGCTCATGTTCAAATATTCATGCTGCTGTACTGATTTTGAGTGAATAGAAATGATTAATTTATATTACACTTTTTAAAAGTATTTGAAGTAGGTGGAAAACAACTCCGCAGAATCTAGGTCCAGTTGCTGTGTAGTGTTTTAATCTCAATAAAAAGCAAACATGACTTTTTAACTGTTTTTACTCAGTAATTTTATATTATCACCACAAATGCGATCTTATATACTCAAATTCTGATCCTAAATATGGCTACTGTTGTACCTGCAAAGTTAAAATAAATTGGATAACTTTAAATCTCCCTTTACAAATGTTGAAATAGTATTATATTTTCAGTGAAATATTAAGAATGCATTAGTAAACTGGAGATTATATGTAGTTTTTCAATGTTGTTTTGTTAACTTGTAGATCTCAATAATGAAACACTTTCCATAGCTGAAGAGCTTGTAAAACTGTCCAGTTTTGTATTAAAAACAATGTTACCATTTTGGATCGCTGCTTTAACAGCTTTCAAGCAAAGCAGGTAAGTCAAATTTTTTAAATTATTTTTAATAGAATTTATTCTATATAGAATAATAAATTCTATATTTATAATCTGCATTCACAGATTCCAAAGCTTTTTACGAAGTCTGTTACTTAACTTATGCCAACATATCATTAGGCATTGTTATGGTGATCCCTCAGAAAGTTTCTCAACTTATGACTTTGTTTTGTGCCAAATAAGGTTTTAAACTATATTTTGAACCCTAAAGAGAACTGTTGGAGATGTAGCAACAAAGGAGAGACTTACAAAGCAAGCAAAATAAATCTCCGCGTATTAAGATTTTGAGTTTTTAAAAAAAGTGTATTGTTTTGTTTTTCTCTCCCATGCTTCACCTTTCAGTAAGTTATTCTAGCCTCTGAGCTTGTATTCAGTGATCAGTTTATGTTTGGCACAGGTAGTCATTTACTGTTTGTTTACAAAGTGCGTTACAGGGAAATTTTGGTCCAGGTCATTTGGCCTGAGACTTTAAGTCTGAAATGGCTGAATGGAGAAAAACCTGGATATCTCTGTTAATTTTTCAGGTATGCTGACAGTGTGATTCTCTTACTTCCTCAGCTGGAAGTTGGACTTAGATTGCTCTTCACTACAACTAATAAATGTCCAAATCGTTTGCTAACAGCTGAGGTAAAATTTCTGTCTAAAGTCAATTATGATTTAGTGCTTACAATATTTGCAAAATAGTTATTCTTGAAGAATAGTGTCTATAAACATTTACAGATTTACCAAAAAAAATTTCAGTCAATTATGGAAAATTATTTACAAGTTTCCAGTTGAGATTCACGAATGCCTTTAATTTTTTTTAAATGTCTGCCAGTAAAAAGAACTGAAAAAGTAGTTGAAGGTTAGTGTTCAGAAACAGTAGTTTAGGGTGGAAAGTAAGCCATGATATATTTATTGTAAAAAAACTCAGCACAAAATCCAAAAGTCTCTTCATTTGTAAGGGGGCTTTTTTTTGCTATTCATGCACCTCTGGTATCTCATGCAAATGAATAAATAAAAGTTTGATAGACATGTCTAGTTATTTGATTTTGTTTGAAAATAAAATAATATTGTCTTTTGTTCTAGTCTTCTGCTTTCTACACCACTTTCGATGAGGTACTGTGATTTTTTTTTTTTTAATTTAATACATATCAACGTCAGAATTTAAGCACATGCATGTTTCCCATTACTAGAGTCTTGAGTGCACTTTCTCGTGTTGGATAAGACATTATTTCTAGCTTTTTTCAACATAAAAATGATGGACAGTAAACATTTTAAATTTTTAATCCTCCAGAAAATATCAAAATTAATACACATTGTAATAAACGGAATATTTTCTTCTAAATGTTTTTAGCTTGAAATTCTTCACTCCACAGAAAGAAACATTCTGTCATTTTTCCTAGATTCAGTTATTCAAAATAAATACTAATAAATATTGCAAGCAGAAATCCTCAATTTTACAAGTTGTTTGAGTTATCTCAAATTGTCAGTAGTAATTAGGGACCTTGATTCTAGAGTGGCAGAAGGAATTGCATAAAATTAGGAAAACTAATTACTTTAGTTATGTTTCTGTTTTGATTATTTGGCTTTCAATAATATAGTAAGTTTCTGTTCAAATTACTTTTCTTCTAGATGCTAGCAAAGCATTTGGATAACAATGAAGTCAACCAGCTACCTGTAGTTCTTGAAGAGCCTGCCATGGTAAGTGTTTTGAAAGTTTTCTGTGGTTTGGTTGGTTGTTTGTTTTTTTTTCTTGTTGTTTTCATTTGTTTTGTTGGTTTTTTTTTAGTTTAGTAATGTCTTTATGACCATGCCTAACATTTATTTATTACATATAGCTTGTATCCAGCACCTTAGAACCAGAAGCTTGTTAGCCTTTTTCATTGGGAAGGATGCAAGGTAGCGTCTCACAAGCTATATTGGGTTAGGATATAGGACTACCTTTCCTTCTGAAATGTAGATGTCTCGGAGATACTTTTCTTTAGACTTCTGAAGTTCAGCTGAATGGAGCAGAAGAAGAACTGATGCCTCATACAGGAAAATTTCAAACTTATTTCTAATTGCTTCTGGGACACATCTTCTACTATCTGGGCAGATGGCACAAAAATGTGGCTCAAACCTGCAAAGCACATTCTGCATCTTACTACCCAAACAGATCGTGAACAGGAAAACTAGGGGTGTTGAATTTAGAGATCTTTAGAGATCTGAGGTTACTGTCCTGTTGCCAGAGGCAGTGGGGTGTGGAGGGCTTGGGGCACAAAGTTGAAGGAAGTTCTTTGGTTTTCTGTGGCTGGTGTTTCTCAGCGGGGGGGAGGGGGAGCTACATCGGGTGATTTCTGTTAGAAGCTGCTAGAAGTTTCCTCCCCCCCACCCCCCGTGGAGCCAATGACAGCTGGCTACAGGAAGGGCTTCCTGCTGTTTGGCCAAGGGAGAGCCAATTGTCATGCCTCTGTGATAACATATTTAAGAAAAAAGGTTGTTGCGCAGAAGAAATTGGAGCCAGGGGGATGGCAGAGGGAAGCCTCCAGGCCCAGGCCCCGTGGCCTCAGCCCAGGGCAGGTGTGGCGCTGGAGCAGAGCCAGGCCAAGCTGGAGTGGCAGCCATGGCCCGGGGCTGCACAGCAGCTACCCCGGGGCAGGCACAGCGCTGGAACCACACCGGGCCAGCTGAACCCATGATGGAACAAGTGGATGCATGAAAATGGAGGACTGCTACCCTCATGGGAGGCCCAGGGGTAGTGGGGTCCTTCAGAAGATCTGTGGCCCGTGGAGAGGGAAGCCCACGCTGGAGCAGTGTCTTCTGGGTAGGACTACTGACCCCTGTGGGGAACCCACGCCGGTACAGTATTCTGCATCAAGGACTGCATTCTATGAAAAAACCATCAGGGTATAGAGACTCCTGCATCCCAAGACCTGCGGCCCGAGGGGGGGGGTGGATCCATGTGGGTGAAGTCCACCAAAGACTATTTCCCATGGGAGGGACCCACGGGACAGGGGAATGACTCAGAGCTTTAGCCCCTGTAGCCCATGGAGAAAGACCTTGGTGGAGCAGGCTGTCCACTGCAGCCCATCTAAGGGTAACTCACAAGTGTAGCAGATATGGAAGACCTGTTGCCCTGTGAGTGGAGGAGGGTGACTCACAAGTGCAACTGACTTGGAAGACCTGTTGCCTTATAGGTTTAGGTGGACTTCTCTTCCTGCACTGATGCAGGAGGAGGAGGGAGAATATAGAAGGAAGGAGGGGCAGTTGAAAAGTGTGTTTAAATCTGTTTTATCTCTCACTCTTCAGCTCCTATCCTGTGAGTAATAAATTTTAGTGCTATCCTCACATTGAATCTGTCTTGCCTGTGTGACCTCTCCTAGCTCTTAGCAATTTCGTGGGTGTTTGGAACCTGGCTAGGGTCAACCCACGACAGAAGTCTGTTGTTAGCTCTCCGAATTCAGCATGTATGTTAGTTTTGAATTTCCTCAGAAGCTACCAAGATGGATGAGCTGCGCTTTTTTTTTGTTATGAGTATAGTTTGCATTGGTTTTTTTCTGAATATCTGAAAGCCCCTTTCCTACAGACATGATCACATACCTGTCTGTCAGGGATATTCTGTACACTGAATATATTCAATTCTATGTGCATACACATAGAATAGAATTCTGTACACTTGATGTATGTTTCCACAGGAATTTCTTTGGGATTTCTTGAACCACCAGGAGGGTCCACGTGTAAGAGATCGTTTAAGCCATGGAGAAATCAATCTGGAAGCATTTCCCAGAGAAGTAGCTAATCAGATAGTTGCATTTGCAATTACTCTTCTCTGCAGATTCTCAGATGAGAATATGTTTTCTCTTAAGGTAGGGATTAGTATTATCTTCTCAGAAGATTTTTTTTTTCGGTTACTTTGGATACCAAATATGTTTTTAGAGAGTTTGACTGAATCTTTCTTGAGAGCTGCTTTTTGTGGAAATGAAGTATTCATCCAAGTAAAAAATTGTGAAAATATGTTTTTGCCTAGTTTTGTAGTGAAATAAGTACAGAAAGTTTTCCAAAAGATTACCCTTTCTTCCTGTGCCTTAATTTGTTGGCTTAACCAGTCCTTATTCACGTGGTTAATCCATAAATTATAGTGATTCCACTTAATTTTGTAAAATTGTATTGATACCTAGCCTGTTTATCTGCTGAATTATCCAAAAGGTATGCACAACTGCTGTAGCTCACCCACTGAGGTATGTAGTTACTGAGATTTTCTTTTTCCAAGACATTGTAAATAATGGTGGCTTGCTAATGTTGTTTGTATCCATACTTATACAGTGAATTTGTAAACACTTTTTGTCTAGCAATATGTTTGTCAACATTAGTGATTATTGTATTTGCTCTCCCCAGTTTCCTGTTTATATTTGGGATTACTTCTTTCAATACCATACAGCAACCCGTGAGATAAAGCTTTCATTCGTTAGTTGCAGCTCTTTTTAGTTTCTCAAGAAGTATTGCATGGTGCTGCATTATGAGAATACTTGGTTGCTTTTCTGTCAGCTGCTGTCAGGTTTCATAGGTAAAATGTGTGAAATTAAGCTTTAACCACTCACTGTGCTGATTACTTCTTTCAGCCCTCACGTATTCGGAAGTCTTTACTGACGTCAGTGCTATAGGTGGCTTGCATAAAATGAGGTATAAGTCTAGGTCTGTGTATGATTATTGTGTGTTGTCTGTGATTTTGTAAATCAGGAACACACGGTCATAAAACCACTGATGAACTGTGCAAGTTGCTACCAATCTCGATTTCATCCAATTTCCCGTCTCAAGAAACAGGTAGGTGTCCACATCTATGAAATCATTTCAGTCTTTAAAATGTGAATCATTAAAATTAGTCTAATTGTTTTCTTCGTGCTTTGTTTGTCCTAAAACCAGTTAAAATCTTACATATTTTTTAATTGTTTTTTGCTAAGGTTTTTATTGTATGAAAACTAGCTGACTAAGATTCTGTCGTTGTAGCAAAATCTGCTTTCCATTGTCATGGTAGTTTTCTGCCAGTCAGTTTAATGAACTGTTTTAGGATGTTCCTCTCTTGATTTGGGTGTACAGTAGACATACTTAGTACTTTTACTTTTCCACAGTGTTCAAACAGTGTGTTATAAAAGTCATGTTAGTTAACTTTTTACATTAAAGGAAATGTAGAAAGAATAGTAAACTAGTTTATTCAGATAATGTTTTAGCATGGAAGTGTGATCAAGACTTTCTGCCCTAACATAGACCTTAACAATTGAAGTTGGCTTACACAATTATGATTACTTAGTGTTTTTCTAAAATTGCCACTAAGCAAAGTGAAATGCATTGGCCTGTCTGTCAAAGGCTACACTTTACAAAACATTTTTTGTTATGTGTTTATAAGGTGCTGGAATGTATGAAGAGCATTCACTTATGGTCCGGATTGCCAACAGTGTCTGAGGAACAAGTTCAAACAATTAAAGGGTATATATATGCTATGTAAGATAGTTCTCAAAATAGTTATGAAGAATGGGGTTTGAGATCGTGAAATGTCTCTCCATATATTTTACTAGAAAGATTGTAGATGCCAGAGAGGTTGTGAGAAGACTCCTTTGTTCTCTTTAGCTTAATCTGTGCTGTGCACATCAGTACTGTAAAAGCTATAAATAATGTGCTAATTTGAAGGGAGTGAGAAGATACCTGAAACACAGAGGTGTTAGTGGCTCCATATTCTGTTTCTGAAGAAATGGTCACCAAATGTAAAACAGAAAATAATGCCTTATTTTGAAAAGGACTTGGTAACCAAAACAGTGGAAGACTTTATATAAGATATTAGTTAGAAAAAGAGTGTAACGTTCTCTTGTTATTTGAAAAGGAGGAAGTCATTAATAATATCACTGGAGGAAATTGTACTTGTTTAGAGCTGAGAAATGAAAATACAATGCATCTATCACATATTCAGTATACTGCAGGATTTTGATGAAGGGGGGATTAAGAGGGGTTCTGAAGATTGCTGAGACTGAGAAAAGGTTGTATTTAGTTGGAGAAATAAAATCATGCTTATAAAATGGAGGGAAAAGAACCGTAATACCAGAGAGTGAGAATTAAATACACTGCTATAAAAAAAAAATCTACATCTTGATCTATGCTATTTGAGAAATAGTAAGTACTACACTTTTATCATCTCAAATGTTAATTGTTTTCTTTTTTTAAGTTTGGAAGAAAACGCTGAAGCTAGTACTTTAATTTTGATGATATCTGAAATTACATCTCAGTTGGTGCAATATATGCCCCAGAACTGCTGTAGTTCAGATGATCCAATCAATAGTGTCCTAACAGAGAGGTGAGTTTGCCTCCTGGTTCCTGCTCTCAGCTTCTACACACGTAAGAAGTCTCAAACCTGAGTTACTCACTTCCCTGTTTTCAGAGCAATGCTTGAAATGTTGTATGCACTTTTCTATTGTTGTTGCTGATTTAATCTGAAAATCTTAGAATCACAGCTGAGCATCATCTTGAAAATTAAGATGGGACATTGTAGATTTGGGAATTACAGTAGAGATTTTACTTTGAAATTAACATGAAAAAATAACTATTTTTCTTTCAGACTGGGAAAGCAAAATAATTAAAATGCTTATGTACTGACTAGATTAGGTTGGTTTTAATCCGTTTTGTGTGCTAAAATTGCATCAGAAATTCGTTTTAATGTATTTGATGTCACAGCTGTGTGTGGCATTCAAAATGGTCATACACTACTAAATAATTATGTTTTTACATGCTTTAATATCAAGATTCAGAAATAGAAGATATGTTGTAATACATGGTGTCAGACTTGGAGGTATGTTAGTTCCAATTATGTCTACTTGGAATAATGTTCAAAACAATTTGACTTTTGATTTCCACTCTTAAGGGAGCCTTAAGACTCCCAGGACTGCATGAGTATGTTGGAACAAAACACTCCTAATCAAACCCATTAGGCATGAGCAGGATAGTGCAAAGAGGATTTTATCTGTTGCTTTACTTACATAATGTGTGGGCCTGCTTTTTCCCACCCACCAATCTTCAATTTTCTCATTTATGAAAAAGAAGCCTAGTTACTAAAGTCATAAACTTTACTTTGGAGTTTTCTGCCTCTATCACTTTTGGTCATTGATGTGTTGCTGTTTCAGAGGTGATTTGAGCATGAGGGAGATTAACAAACGCAGTGTTTGAAGTGATGTGTGACACATCAGGGTAGTAGATTAGAATAGGACAGCAGGAACGTATTTGTGTGGTTTAACAAAGCATGATCTGTGTGGTGTTGATTAAAAAAGTTGTCTCACCACCTGCATTTTACAAAATGTTAAGTCTGCTGCTTGTTTTGCCCAGAAGAAGGACCACACACTAATGGAAGTACTAATTAATACCATTTGTTTCAGTGAGTTTTATTATGGTGAATGTTAATTCATTATGAGTTGAACTATGGTGGGAGGCTTCAACCACAACCCTGCTGTGATTTGATGTGTTCAGTATATCATTTCAGGCAGGCAGTTTCATTTATTGTGGTTTTGTTTCTTTGATCTGAAATGGGAAACATATTCATCACCAGCAGTTTTGCATTTATATTCAGTAAAGTGATAAAGAACGCAATCACTACCCCTGCTACACAGATCCTTGCTTTTTTCAGTCTTGAGGTAAGGGCAGTTAGTTTCCAGGTTTTCTGAGTTAAAACATTATGAGTCAAACCACACTGAATATGAAATGTATCTCATGTTAAATCCAGCTAACGAAAGATTGACATTAAAAATCCCTTCCTGTTTTGGAGGCTGTTGACTGAACTTTGCGATACACGTGTTTGCACGCTTTATTCTCCTCGACCGGTTCTGGAAATAGTGGTGATACTCCGCAAAATAAGCACGCAGTGCCATCAAGTGTCCGAACAAGTTATTGCCGGCGCTGAGGTGAGATACACACAGTGGGTGAACAAGACTCTGCGTTCTCGTCAGAGGCATAACTATCTACGGATGTTGAACAGGTTGGCTGATGGTTTTCCTTTACTTAGGCTGAGAGAGAGTGGCTGCACTCTACTGTTGCTGGCTTTCAGTGGTTTGTCTTAGAAGGTTGAAGTCAACAGTGTTTGCATGTTCTCATTAACCATTTCAGAGTTAAGTGTCAAACTAGATTTCTGTTGAGCAGCAATGTTGAACTAAAAAGAAAATCTCAAACTGGAGAATAATTCAGTGGGTATTTTTCAACATTGCTAGATTACTTCACTACAAGCTTTCAAATTAAGTATCATTTAAATGATAGATTGTGTTTTTGTAGATGCTAGCTTTTCCTGTTTATTAAACATATAAATGACATTCAAAATTTATCTGAATGCAATAGGTTTAACTGATTTGAAGACTTTATCTACTTTAGTTTGCTGCTTTTTATAATTATACCTGAATCAGCATCTTTATATACAGATATATCTATATGTAGATTAATATTTCATTAAGTTTTGTTCCTATTCCTAAGTGCTTTCCTGGGTTTTATGAATCTACTTTAAAAACCGGGAAAACTGTAGATTTTGTATTATTGGGCAGGTTATGTTCCTAAAAATGTTAACCATATTATTTAAGAAACAGCTTAAACTGAAACCAATGATATATTTTGCAAATCAGTTGAAATCTGCTTTATTATCTATGGAATAATGGGTGCCCATGAGTTTTTCTTTGGAATCTTAACTTTATGAATTTCATTTTTTTCCTCTTTCAGAGGTTTCATCATTTATAGTCTTCATTCCTTGTTCTGGGATTTGCACTTTTTGCTGAAGGACATTTCATAGTCCTTTTTTTTTTTCCCCCCATTTTGCAATATCCAGCTATTTAGGATTGGTGCAGAAGTCTGAAGAATTCTTCTATGTTAGTGATTTTTTTTTAATTTGGTTTTAGTTTGTTTATTTTATTTTGTTTTTTTTTATTTCTAGCATTAAATTTTTGTCTCCAGTGTTGAGACTCATCTTAATATTGATTACTGTGGAAGTGGTCAGTGTTCATGCCGTTTGTAAGAAGAATCCTTTTGATTATCAGCAGTATCTAAAGTGAGTATCTGAACTTACTTTATGAAAATAGGAATTGTACATATTCCTTTCTGATCTGTAATACAAATCCTGTAGAGATTTTCTATCATTAGTCATAATTATACCTCAGACAATGTTCACTTAAGAACGAAAATAACTCAGCTGAAAATATATGGTCCAGTTATTCACATTTTTAATTTTTATTAGACTCCCCCTTAGTATAGATAGGAAACAATCATACACTCAAATAAGAATACATAAATGCTGTATTTAAGATGTTGGTGATTTTTCTCTTTGTGTGTCAATTAGTAGCTGGTTGGGTATCATATACATTGTGAAACATTTGACTGAGAAAAGAAAGGAAGCCATTTGGGGAAAATTCTGTCACACGTTTTGTCACTCTTTTCTTTCTATGGAAGTGTTAATTGCAGTTCTGAAAATCTTTGCATCCTACTGTGAGAGTGAGGGAGCGGTTCTTTTCCAGAAGTAGAACAAACCTCTGAATGTATTGATCATCTTGAGGAAGATTTGGATATTTGAAGACGTTAGCAGCTTTAAATCAGGCATTGAGATATTTTTCTTTTTTTTTTCTTTTTAAATCCTTTTAAAAGCTTTTCTTCTTTGGTGTTATTTTTCATAGGTTTTTGAAGTTAATCTTGCAGTATACTGAAAACTTGGTGACATACACAAGCCCTGAGAAAAACAAGTGGGATGAAACCATGGAACTTACAAACAAGGCTTTGATAAAAATAAGAAAAATCAGTGACAGAAAGCTAATGTTAATGCATCTGGCTGCATGAATTAAATGGGCTTAAGATTGTTTGGACATTGTAATATCTAAAGAGTTCTGGAGTCCTCGTGTTTGTCAAGTCTAATTCAAAGACAGACTTCATCAGACATTGTCAAAATTTGGATGCAAAATATAGTCTTTTTATTAGAAGGTAGCTGTTGAGACTGGAGATGAATGATCAAGCTTTCATAGGATGAATTGTTTACTGAATGCACCGAAAAAGATTTACTGTGAACTAAATCAGGATAATGCAAGTTCTACTGTAAATATGTTTTGTGTTTTGTACATTGGGGCTTCTTTTGTAGTTTTCTATTGTATTGAAAAATAGCTAAGTAAAGAGTGTGAATAAAAGATCTGAGATTTTTAAATTCAAAAAGTAATTTTTTTACTTTGCAATACACTGGAATTTATGTCAGATGCTGTGTTCAACAGGTTAGGAAACGATGAGCATAGAATAGCGCTCGTTGGCACCTGTGGTTGTTGGTATTAGTTCTAAACAGTGTCAGATCTTGCATTGAGGTAGAGCTGATAACACAATAACCAGTTGTTGATATACCGTAATTTAAAGGATACAAGATGGAATAACTTTAGCACAACATGTGTTTATTTTGTTTAATTTTACCTACTCATTCCCAATACATATTTAGTCAGTGGATGAACACTCATGTGCACATGCTCACAGACACATATTCATTGTGGTTCAGAAAGTTATCCTCTTGTTGCACAGAACATTAATTTGAATAATTTGGGTTTTTTAAATAAATTCTCCCCCTTTTTCATCACCAAAGAATAGAATTTCAAAGAACAGATTCACAGAAGACCACCAGTGTCTATCCATTTGCTTTCTCCTATGGAAAGTAAAACCAGGGGGTACTGTCTGGAGAATATTTGTCCCTACAAAGGATTAGAGATTCAAGTTACATTTTAATAAGCTTCTTTGCAATGTTTCTTGACTGGAAATCACAGTGAGAGTTTGGTTTATTTGTTGTGGGGGATTGATATACGCTGTGATCATGTTGCTTTCTTTATGTTACTCTTGAAATATATCGTGTGTGTTTGAAATTTAGCTATGTCGCTTTTTTTATTGCTATGAAATCTAAAAGGTGTGAAGAAGTTTGAACTAGATAAAAAAAGATAAAGAATAGAGAATAATGAATTAAATGCAGTGTATGAGCCACAGTCTAAAATTTCAGATTTTTGAAAACCTCAGTTGGCAAATGTTAATGATATTTTTGGAGGCTTATGCACTTTGACTTTGCTCAGATATGTTAACTTCAGCTAGGTGTGACTTGGTAGTGGCATTTATGATGACACTTGCTTTGATGGTGGTAAGTATTGTAAGGGGGTAGGTGATAAGTATTGTAAGGCAAAAATTATTTAGGATTTACATATTGACTGTATGAAAGAGATCAAGAAACTAAAACACAGTCATGTTTTAGAAGTACATAAATGGCTGACATGCTTTCTCCTTTTGGAAGTGTGTTCATGTACTGAAAAGCACCTTTATAGACTATAGAGGTATATTTTCAACAGGTATATTTTCCTTTTGTTCCTATATTTAAACTTCACTAAAATTATCTTGCGTGCTGTTCTCTTCATATACTTTTACCTAAGATACAGCACATTGACAATTTCTTCTTTTGTAATTAGCGCCATAGATGTGATTTGCTACTCTAAGTCCGCAGTAAGAAACATGGACTTCTGGCAATTTTGTCAAAGATGCTTTTCCAGTTTGTTTTCCTACCTCTGAAGCTCTCTTATGGGAACACTGCTGCCATCTATTGTTAAACAAATCTTGAACAGGCTGGGACAATCCAGTTATTTATTCTGACTTAATGTTGTCATTTGCCAGTAGGGCTTATGGCTTATGAATTCTTCCTGCTGTTAAAAGACTTGTGGAATACAGCTGTGTATATCCTACAATGCACATTGGAGAACAAATGGCAAGAGATACGGTAGAGGTCATTGGGTTTGTCCTTTATCAGTTACTTACTTTTCCACTTCAGTTACTCATCTTTGCCATCTCTTTGGAATCACTTTTAAGTTATTAGAAAGAGTCTTAACTGTGAACACTCAGAGAGTATTGCTCATGCGTGAGTAACACTGACAAAACACATCACATTTAAATGCAAGTGTTCTGATTTTGTTGTCCTAAAGGAAATTAATTCAGGATCTGAGCTGTCCAAAACTGCATAGTCATCCATTAGGCATTCAAATAGTTGTTCAGTCTTTTTTCAAAATTCTGGAAATTTCAAATATCTAGAATTGTACCAAAGAATGTTTTCTTGCAAGTGTGGCATTTCATCCAAGTGTTACTTGGATCTGCTTTAATTGTCAGCCTTGCTCCCTGAGGTCTGTGTTTTCCTTGAGGTATTCCCTCAGTGAATCTATACAGACATAGACATGGAATATCCAGCATCCTCTGAGGAAAGTTGTTAAAATATTTTGTTTTGCTGGATAGTGCTGATGAGGGAGTGATGATTCCTGTAAGTTCTGAGTTCAATTAACCAATTTATATGTGTGTGTGTATTAGTTAAAAATAACTGAGAATTTTTTTCTAATACTTCCTGATCTTAAAAGCTAGTTAGGCATCCCAACTCAAAGAATTTATAACAGAAGTTTGGAAAATGTGGAAAGAAATCAGGTATTCATCTTCTTGGCTATGGGAATTCATTGGAATTCCTTTGCATGTTCTTGACTGTCCCATTTAAAGAAGAGGAGCATCTCTAATCATTTTAGCTTTTCAGTAATGAGATGTAGTTCCTCTGCCTGCCTTTCATCTCAAGGAGAGTTTTCAGGTGGGAGATTTTATTAAATAGTAACAAATAGAATGCTCTTAATTCAAATTGGCATGGATATAGTTTTCTGGCATGGATATAGTTTTCAAGTAAAGGTAGAAATCCTTTGTTGCTTATAATAGAACTAGTGAAAACTAATGTTGTTCTCTGAATCCATTGTCTCCATCATTATGTGAACGGTTTTATTCAATATGCATAAATATTTGAAGAAAAGGCAATCTCTGAAGTAATTAAATTGTAGTTGTGTGAACATTATGATTTTTGGTACCTTCTAGGAAGCATCAAGACCAACTAGAGGTTTACCGAAGCAGTCACTGCACAAATACAGTGAAACATCTATTATGGTAGGCATCTGTGTGTCGAAACAAAGCTTGCCCTTTATGTTCTTTCTGTCATTCTCTAGTTGGTGCTCTCCACAATGATGATAGGAGGGGTTAGAAACAGAGCCATGTGTTCTTATACAAATGTGATACCACTGGCTAAAAGTAATTAAAACCTTGTTGGGGTTGTCATCACTATTGCATAATACAGAAATGTTTACGTAAGAAGTAGAGCAACAAATTTGATTTACTTTATCTTTTAATAATTCCCATCTAGCTGTTTTGAACCAGCCTGATGGCCTTTGAAGTGAACACATGGTGGCAGTGTTTGGTAATTCAAAATAGCACTCCAGGCTGACGTTCGCTTTCTTATCTCTTTTCTTAGGATGTGTATAAAGAAATCAAGTTTTCTTTTGATTTCATCAGCTTTTTTTATATGTGTCTCTAATTGTGTCTTCTCATGAAACTTTTTTCTCATTTGTTTTCAGATCACTTTTGGAGAAATTGAACATCTCTGAAAAAAAGAAGTTTTGCGAACATTTTAATAATTAGGTGGATGTTCATCACATTTACCACGCTACTTGCTGAGGGCTTTTTGAATTTGCCAGAGGCTCATCAGCTCACCCTTTCCTTACTCAGTTTAAGAGAATGAGTTCTTTGAATTTAAAAAGTTTCTTATTCGAACAAATTATTGTTTTACAAAACATAAGTATCCAGATTGTCCCTTATTAATTGCTGTGATATCACACAAAAAAAATCTTATCTCAAAAGTAGTATGTACCTTTTGCACAAGAACAATAATTGTCAAGAAATGTGTTTATTGAGAAAATTGCACTAAGGTCTCAGTCTTATTGCTGTGGTAATGCTTTTTCAATCTGTTGAAACTGAAATGTGCTATTCATGTGCCACCCTGCAAAGAAGATATAGCTGAGCATTGCTTGTTGGGTGGCCTTTGAAAACCTTGTTCACAGTAGCACTTTCAAACCATGCAGAGAGATTGCAGCTAAAAAGGATTTTCATTCACATGAATTGATTTCTGTGCACTGTGAAATCTTGTGTAGAAATGTTGGAACATCCCCAGAAGAGCTTGTTTTTGCCTTACAGTACATGAGTGCATCTGGTCCATGTATGGTGTATCAATTTTTCTTCATAAGTTAGTTTGCAGATGCAGAGCAGATTCCTGCTGGTGCAAACTATTCCTGTCCCATCTTCTTCAGTTCAAATCCTTTACTTTGCTAAGGATCTTCTCCGTGCTGTTTGGGTTTCCCTTGACGAGTGCTGGTTTCTATCTTTGCATCTTGTACGTTTTCAGTGGACTGGAAGAAAGAGCTGTGTAGTTCAGATTAAATTGCTGTATAGCAAAGCCTAATTAATTTAGTGGCTTACTTTGTAGGGAAGTGGGGATCATATGGGACTTCAGAGCTACAAACCAAATTCTTATTCTTTAATATTTTTGCGTTTGAGGAAGACCTTCACCTAAAAGTGAGATTTCTTTTTGAGGCTTTTTTTGGGCAGTGCTATAGGTTAGAACACCTGATTTTTGCTTTTCAAAAATTTTCAAGGATAAATGGAGATCTATCATTTAAGAAGTCTTTTAAGCCATATAGATTTTCAGATTAGAAAATGAAAGGAAAATGCCGGTTGTTTGTCTTCCCTGGGCCCTGGGCAATAGGATGTAAATATGGGTAGTAAATACTGTGTGAGATCAAACTGGCATTTTTTTCTGAAGGTGAGAATCCAAGACAATATATACAATTAAAGCCAACAGCCTTGCCTACCAGAAGGAGTCCATGTCTTCTGGCATTCTCCACTGAAACTTCTCTATTCCTCTCCCATGTATATGCATCTCACAGTTTCTCTAAAAAAAAAAAAAAAAAAGGCATAGTAGAACCAGCCAGCACCAGTTTATTTTCCGTTTTCTTTTCTCTGTAAGGGATTAGTTGTAGTAACAGATTTCATGTGCCAGAAAGTGGGTGAACATTAACTATTTTGTCATGCACTGATCCTTCCCACAGCCCTGCAAAATTTGAAATGCAGGAATGGTTATTCATTAACATTTCTTTGTGTCTACAGGAAGTACATTTACTATGTAAACATGTTTTATATAGAACATACAGCTGTTTTGAACAAGCACTCAATGAAACGTAAGAGTACAGTGCCTACACTGCCACTGCAGAAACTCTGAGATACCACAGCATTGTGTTTTGGAAGAGTGAACACACAAAGGCTTTGCCCAGAAAAAATAATGGTGGAAGTTTCCTTAAAAAAAAATTAATTCTTTAATTTTGTTGATTGTTTTGTATCTGAAATGTATCTGGACACTAAACTATTGATACGCAGTCAATATTTAGAAGTGAGGTGGGTGGGGATGTGTTTCTTAGTGCTGATTTCAGTAGACATTCCATTGAAGAAGGAAAACTCAAGTACCATCAGATAGTCCATTTTTCATAGACTAAGTATACTGCCACCAGAAAAAAAACTTACAGTGTGCAGAAAATGTGAGGAGAATAGCTAGAAGAACCATAGTCTGCTTTTCCTGATAATGTCAGTCTCAAATCTGTGAGGAACTTTACTTGTAATACTTTTTCCTTGTGTCCGATGTGCCTCTCTGCAAGCAACTCCACTGGCTGAACTTCACATTAAGAGCGTTCTGTGGAATTGAGATGTTTTCTGAAAAGGTGAGTAACGATTCTGCTTCCCAGAAAGTTGGAGTGTTTTTACTGGGCTGTTTGTTACTTCTAGGTGGCTAAAGCTGTTTTGCCCCTTCAGAACTAAAGGACGGTGCATTTACCAAGGTACTTCTCAAACTGGCTGTACGCTGCGGGCCCTACTGTGTCAAAGGTACCGTTCCTAAGGAACCACAGGACCAAGAAACGTAGGTGTGCTGTGGAAAGGGTTTATGTACAGCAGGCCAAGCCTTTGGACAGCTCTCCACTGCACACAGGGTA